GTAAGGATAGGTGAATGTATCTCACTTATTTGATTGGGTTTTGGGGGAAATAATTCTGGACAGGGAAAGGGTTAAATGAGGGAGATGGGCTGGTTGTTTTAGAGGCATTTCTTAGGCAGGATATGGGGGAGACAAAGGAGGGTGGATTGGTGTGGGTGTGGGTCAATGTGTCTTGGATTTTAGTGGCTGTTTATTTAGCCTAGTTGAGGGACACAATGGGGGGTTTTTGACAGGTTATTTTTGGCCAGTATATGGGGGTAAGGGAGTGCTTATTTAGGCTATTATTAGGAGTGGTTTTGGCCTTAAGGGTGTAAATTTAATGGAAGGACAATTGTGGGGTTCAAAGGGTGTGGTGGTGTGTTGGGTTGTGAGGTATATTTGGCCAGGGAATGAAAGGAAGGGAGAGAAGGTTTTATTTGTTTATTAAAAGGCTTAAAAGAAGGAAAATAACAACAAAAAAAAGGTTTTGGTTTCTTATTATTGACCAGGGATTAAAATATATGGTAAAGGCTTTATTTTGGGATAAAAGAAGAGATAAAAGACTTTTGGATATGTTCGGAGGAGTTGGGATTTTTGGTGGAGCCATCCAGGGATATAACAGACCCGGTAAGGAGGTGCAATAGGCTTTAGGCGAAGGACATGAAGAGGGGTAGAGGTAGACCTAAGTAGAGTATGAAAAAGGGGTTAAACACGACTTATGACTTGAAAGTCTTACCAATGATATGACTTACATAGGAGTGTTGAGGTCTAGGCTTAAGGTGGTAGGGTAGTCATTTGGGCTTTAGTTTGTGGCTTGAGCTTGCGTGCTTTTGTGCCTTAATTTGTAGCTTCTGCTTGAATGCCTCTTCTGATTGTGTGCTTTCTGTGTTCGTTGGAACCAGTGGAACTAGAATGTGTCAAACGTGTGTCAGGTATCTCCACGGTCTCAACGATAACATTTATAATGTTGTTGAATAATACCTATGAAACATTAGAGGAATTAAGGCTCTGTTCCGTACCCCTGATCTGATTGAATCTGATCTGAATTTTTGAAGATTTGATCTGTTCTGTTCTGATTGGGTCTGATTTTATCTGATTGGATCTGATCTGATCTGATTAGATCTGATCTGATCTGATTGGATCTGATCTGATTACATCTGATCTGATCTGAATGGATCTGATCTGATTGGATCTGATCTGATCTGATTGGATCTGATCTGATTCGATTGGATCTGATTTTCTCTAATTAGATCTGGTGTAAATGAATTGAAATATGATTTAAACTAAACTTAAAGTTATTACAAAATTTAATAGTTTTAAAGTATTACAATTCATATATACATAAAAAAAGTAAAATAAGAAAATCAGCTAATCATTGATATGTTTAAACTTTTTTTAAAAAATATTAAACATCTTTTCAATATCACAACTTTTTTAATTTTTGTGAAAACTAAATAATTGGTATTAAAATAACAAATATTATAAAATATTGATGCTATTCTAAAAGAATATCACATTCTATATACATATTACATAATAATATATTTCATATTACAAATTAAATATCATATAAAATTTTAAACACTAATATCCCTTTCACCTCTATCAATTTTGTCATAAACTCACCCTTGTGTATATTTTACCATCTTAAAGCTTAAAAGTAAGTCTTTTTAAGTATAAAATATTTATAGTTTTGAAAACTAAGTTTTGTATAATTATTTTATAAACAAGTATTTTAAATTAACTCTTTTTAAAGTATGAAAAATAAAACTTTTTAAGCTTTAACATTGCTTCCATGCATCATTTCTATCCTACAAGCTAAACAATTATTAAAAATAATGGTTTGTAGTTGAAATATAATAATAATAATAATAATAATAATAACAACAACAACAACAATAATATTTAAAATTATAATACTCCCTCCGTCCGTCTAAGATCTTCTCTTTTTGACTTTTTGTGGTTTTTAAGGAGAGTTGAAAAAAGGTGAAAGTTTACCATAATACCCTTAATGAAAATGGATGGAGTGTATTAAATGAGGTGGGTGAGGTGTAATAAATAAAGTAAGTAGGGGTAGTTGTGGTATTTTAATTATTAAAAAAAGGAATGAGAAGATCTATGGTGGACAAATAAAAAAGGCTAATGGGAAGATCTATGGGGGACGGAGGGAGTATTAATTAAGATTTAGGTGTGTGTATTTTTAAATAAAGTAATGTGATTTAATCAAATAATAGTAATTATTATTTAATCCTTGAAAAATATAAATATTATCTTTTATATTTTTCTTGATTTGATATTATTAGATTTGATCTGGTCTGATCTGATCTGATCTGATTGGATCTGGTCTGATCTGATTAGATCTGATCTGATTGGATCTGATCTGATCTGATTGGATCTGGTCTGATCTGATTAGATCTGATCTGGTCTGATTGAGTCTGATCTGATCTGATTGAATCTGATCTGATCTGATCTGATTTTAATAAGAATAAGTAATAAGTAGAAAAAATAAGTCCTACGGAACGGACCCTAAGTGTTTTGGCCCACAAAGTTGAAATGCCACAAAAAAACAAAGTTTCCACTACCAGAAACTTCTCAGTGTTTTTGATGTCAATACATTGTGTGAATTAAGAAATATAAGTGTGTTTACTGACTCTTTTGAGTGAAACCTGAAAGTGAGTGATTCAATTTTATCCCTTTCCTAATTGTTATCTCTTAAATTGGCTATTAAGAGTGTATTTAGGAGTCTTATTTTATGCCTCAATTGTGATTATTGGAGTATTAGACTAGATACTAAGCCCTAAGGTGAATTAAAAGCGTGTAATATCTCTTATTATTCAACTTAGTATTATCATTCTTCCCATCTATTTTCTGAATTTCTACCTCCATCTAGTCCTTCACATATTGTCTCTTATATATTTGTTTAAATAATATATAACAGGATTTACGCAGCTTGACCTTATATATTTGCATTGACAAACTGTTACTTCACTATTGAAAGAAGCACAAACAATTTAAAGAGCCATTTTGCTCTATTGCATCATACCCTAAAACCAAAAAATAGTGAATCTTTGGCTCCATCGGAGATGATGGAAATTTGAGAAACATGTTTGCTAAAAAAATTTGAGAAACATGTGTGATGTGTCAAATCAACTATCAGTTTTTCATAATAATTCAACAATTTTTGGAAAAGTCTATAATAGTTATAAATTTAGAAAGAATGTTACCAAGGAATTGGTTCCAAGAACATCTAAAAGACACCTCTACTTATTAAGGGTATGCTTTGAAACCGATTTTTCCTGGAAAATGACCTTTTTTTGGAAATCTGTTTCATTTTCTGGTGGTTGACTGGAAGAGGAAAAAAACTTACATTTTTTGTTTGGTTCATTTTCAAGCAAAATGATCAACAAAACATGTTAGGAAGTTTTTTCCTATTACATAAATTCTGTTTGGTGACTACCTGAGTTTCCAGCTATTCCTTCCTTCCAGTGATACTTTTACGTTCCTGCAATGGTGGACATGGCACAAAGAAAGCATTGGAAACTAGGAGCTAAGTTCAAATGTTGTCACAAAGAAGGGAACAACAAAGAGGAAGACCTTTTCTGGAAACAAGTGTTAGAATACATTTTCTGTGACACTAGTGCCTTTTCCATTGTCCATTAGGGATTAATGCCTTAATGGGTATTTCCTTTGACTGTTATCCGAACTAACCCACCGGAAAATGAAAATGAAGTCATTTTCCTGTGCCAAATTAGAAATCTTCTTACTGTTACATTGGACAAAGTTTCCGGTAAAACAACATTAAACAACAACAACCAAACTTTAGTCCCAAATCATTGTCGTAAGTTTCACGAACCAATGGAATTAGAAATTCAAGTTAACAATGGTTAATGGTTTGCAGGAAATTGTATTAATTCTGATTTCATTCCAGAAATTATAATCCAAAACAATGGAAGAACACATTTCTGCTTGTAACATGATATGAATTAAAAGGAAGAACCTAGATAAAACGAGATACAACAATATGAGCCTTGTAACATTCGATACTCTCATTACTCATTAGGGTTTTGCTTAATGTTAAAAATCCATTTAGAACTTCCCTCTTACCGAGCGAAAAAACCCATTTAGATTTTAGAATTGGTAACTAGAAGATAATTTAGGGATAAGTTGACACTCCTTAAGGCTTAAACAAAAATGCAATTAAAAGAAAAAACATAAGGTCAAATAAACATCACAGGTGACACAATGATCCAAACATGGAAACTGATTCCAAATATTATAAAAATGAGATCAAATAAAGAACACAAAATCAAAACCAGAGTAATATTGAATCCATAAAATTGGCATGAGACTCCCTTACCAAATGATACTAGTGTTGAAAGGCGAGGGAACAGGGTAAGAACCCTAACTAAAGGTTTGCTCTCTCACATCATTGTAAACAAAAAATATGATGTAATAAGCTTGATTGTGCTGGTCTCCTTTTTATGAATATATATATAGATTACAAACCTATAAACAAAGTTAAAGATAAGTAAAAAACTTTATTTATAATGTAGAAGTGTCCTTATTTACACCTAGTACCTACTTTACCTCATGTAAAGCAGGTAAGTCTTAGTCCATAAGAATATGATTCAAGAATCATAATGCTAGATACAAAACTGTAGTGTAGTGGTAGTAGTGAAACTACATTGTAATCCATTGAGAATTAAGACAACTACTTTTTCATCTTGACTCGTGATATCTCAGAGCAAAAGTTTCAGGTCTCTATCATTTTTCTAATACTTGTTTTTCTTAAAAATACAAATTTCTAGGAGTATTGGGCTTCTCTAGGATGTGCTGTGATGCAATGCAGCAATACTGAGGTAATCACAGGTAGCATCTTCTTGTTGTATGTAAGGTTTATGACAAACCTAGGATCCATATCCACAATCCTGCACATGCACTATTTTATGTTTTTTGTTTAATGGCATAGACATTACTGCCCCAAATTCTGACTTGTGGGGGTTCTAATCTTTTAAACAGGTTGGAGCTGGGACAATGAATCCTCTGACATTTTTGAGGGTCCTTGGTCCAGAACCGTGGAATGTTGCGTAAGTTTTCACGAACATGTCTTATCTCATTCTTAATTTTTTCACAATCTTTAGTATGGTATTCGTTATGCTAGGTACAACTTTCAGAAAGGTCATAGATACATTTGTGTCAATCTGAAGTCATGAAAGTTGAAGTGATTGTTTGGTGTTCTTAATAGGCATTCATTTTTTCCCTCTCTACTGGTCACATTAGATGCATATAACAACCACTTTCAAACCATTTTATAGTGTTTTTTATTTTTGTTTTTTGTCAAATTATATATGATTTTAATTACTTAAAGTCCCTTGGCACAATGTAACTCTGTAAGGTACTATACTAATCCAGTTATTTGTAATGTCAGGTATGTGGAGCCTAGTATTCGGCCGGATGATAGCCGTTATGGTGAAAATCCTAATAGGCTTCAAAGGCACACTCAGTTTCAGGTTATTTACTGCAGTATATTGAGTATATTCTTAACAGTTGCTGTTTGATGACAGAATTATTTGCTTACTAAGATTCTTCTAAAACCTCTTTTGAATTCCAACTAGGTTATATTGAAGCCTGATCCTGGAAATCCGCAAGACCTTTTTATACGGAGTTTGTCAGCTCTAGGTTATGATGCAACCAACTATAGACTATAGAGTTAATTTTACTGGGTTTTACAAATTTAATCACCTTTAAAGCTGTTCTTTTCGGAATTCTTCCACTTGCCATTTTTGTAATTTAAGCTTTCTTTTTGACTCTGTACTTACTGGCATCCTTTTGTATTCATTCTTCTAATGTTTCGCCAATAGGAATAAATGTTAATGAGCACGACATTCGCTTTGTTGAGGACAATTGGGAGAGCCCGGTAAGTTAGTCTCTTCATGCACATGTCCTGTAAGATGTATGTTTGCATGAATGCCAATTACAAGTACATATCATCATTTTTATGTAATGGACTGTACATCCATTTTCTGATTTAGTATAGCTGACGCTGAACAGTTCAAAGCCCTCTTCATACTTCACATTCACCAGTTTTAGTTGGTTTGCTTATTTCCAAATACTTGAGTTGAATGTAACCGAATTATTATAATATTATCACTTGGTACATTACAAACTGTTAATTATAATGCATTGCTGGCTGTCTTCTATTTGATTTGATGTACTGCTAGGTGCTTGGTGCCTGGGGGTTGGGTTGGGAAGTCTGGATGGATGGGATGGAAATTACTCAATTCACCTACTTTCAGCAGGTACTTCTATTAATTTATCTTTATTTTTCTTTTAATAGGTTGCTGGGTATTATAGTTGCTTAAAAGTTTCTGCCCGTCAACTGCAAAGCTTTCTTTTCTAAGATGATGCCTAAATTTCTTTCATAAAACTTGGGTGTTCTATTTTTAGAAATATCTTGGAGCTTAAGGATTAACTTGTTTTCCTCTTGATAATTGCTACAAATGTCAGGCTGGAAGTATCCAATTGAAGCCAGTATCTATTGAAATTACTTATGGCCTTGAGCGTATTCTTATGTCAATTCAGGTTTGTTAAGTACTCTTCTTTTTTCTTGACTTTGGGGTTACTGGCTTTCAAACTAAACTGCCCATATCTTTTGCAGGGAGTTGATCATTTCAAAGATATTCAGTACGCCGATGGGATAACATATGGAGAAGTTTTCCTGGAAAATGAGTAAATAGTCTTTTAGCAGCGGTTATTTTATAATCTGTTGTGCCCAAATTGAGAACTGATTCCTGACTAGCAATACGGATTAACCTATTTTTTTCTCTTTTATGCTTAACTGATTGCCATTGAGATAAAACAATGATGGTCCTTTTTTTGGATCCTCGTAACTTCTACTGTATGAAAATGTGAAAAACAACACCAACAATTCTACCCTAGTGACATCATATAGCTACTTACAGAGATGGTACCTCATGGTGGACTAGATCCGCAATCACACCATTCCCTACAGCCCTTACCGGCTAATATTAACCATAGCATTAGGTCTCATCAGACTAATCTATCTGCTCATTGCTACATACGTTTTGTTAATTTTCTTTGATTTGATAGTTGCTGTGAGAGGTATCCTGGTGTTATCTGTAACCCTTGCACCCCTCTCAAAGCAAAGGAAATTTTTTTCAAATTTATTTCGTAACTTTAAGTAAAATTACAATAGCAAATTGAGGACAGATACGTATTTATAGTTTGTTCTCTAGCCATGATATTGAATCATGAAATGTTTCAAATCTATTTTTTTAATGTAATTATAAATATTCCAAAGTTCTCTTTCTATGAACCATTCATACCCTCGCAAATCCCAAACTATAGTTTAGAATACTTATTTTATTCTAACTTTTGTTTCATCATTCCAATATCTTTATTTCGAACAACTTGTTAATGCATACTAAGAAATCTGTTTCTTACGCACATTTCTCTTTTTTGTTTTTAATTCAGGAAGGAAATGAGTGCATACTATCTGGAGCATGCTACTGTGGATCATATTCAAAAGCATTTTGATTTATTTGAATCAGAAGCTCTGCGCTTGCTTGATTTAGGCCTTCCCATACCTGCGTATGTGTTTATACTGTTAACCCTTTTTTGAAGAGGGTGAGAGAACACCTCATATAGCTCTACTGTTTTTGGTAGGTATGATCAGGTATTAAAGACATCCCATGCTTTTAATGTACTCGACTCTAGAGGTTTTGTTGGAGTTACAGAACGTGCTCGATATTTTGGCAGGATGCGTAGGTAAGAATATTTGTGCCGCTCTTTGATAATGATAAGGATGCTGGTAGAAATTCTATATTCTAGTATTCTCATACTGCCCTTGTATTTCTTAATGTATATAATTAATGTTCTGCATAGATGGTGTATATATATATGGAGACAGGATATGAGTTGAAAAAACCATACTCTCTCTGTCCCAACTTAGTTTCCCACTTTGACTACGGAGATTAAGAGAAATGTTATAGAGATGTTGAAAAGTGAAAAGTGAGCGGTTGGAATTTTTTTTGAAGAGAAATATTTTGAACCATATATCCTTTTCCAAAAAGGGAAAGAAAAAATGGGAACCTTTTTTTGGATAGATGTAAAAGGAAAGTGGGAAAACTTTTGTGGGACAGAGGGAATAATAGTTTAGTTTCAATTCTCTACTTTTGCCTTTTTCTCCCCAGTTTAGCTCGGTATTGTGCACAACTTTGGTTAAAGACAAGGGAGAGTCTTGGCTACCCACTTGGTGTGATATCTTACCCAAAGCATCTTATTATTCCAAGAGAACCCCTGAAGGAAGCAGGACAGGTTTGCCCTTAACTTCTTTGTCATCTTTTTTATAGTACAGAGTGCTACTTTTTTTTTATTTTGGATAATTTGTATTCCCTAATATGGATAAGGATGAGCTGTCCTCTTACAATACAAGATCGGCATTTGGGTTGCAAACAAATCGAATCAAGTACCCTGATTTTGGATTTGGATTCAATTATTGTAGAGGGTATTCTTATTCATTTAAAACTGGAATCTAAAAAAAATCTGCATTTGACTCTACTGTCTTTATTATTCTGAAGATACACCTCTTCTAAAAGAGTTATGTTGCACCAAAGTATAACTCTTGGAAATCAGCAATGCCAGCTATATTTATATATATATATATGTAGGTTGAACTAAACTTAACATAGTTAACTAGTTAATATTATAACAATTTGTTCAAAAATGAAATATAATTCAAATTAGATTCCTCTGTCCAAATAAAGATTTTGTTTGGGAAAATAGTTTTCAAATACAGTATTATTTTTTAACACAGGAAGGATTTGTGTTAAAGTATGTGCGTGTTGGTGGGCTAGCATAAGCCACACCAACTGACTTCATTGAAACCTTAGGACAAGGGCAGTATGCCACAACAACCAACATCGTTAAAACCTTTTGTTCATGAGATGGAAATATGGGTGAGAGGCGGGTCAAGCTCACACCCTGTACTAGAATTGTCTACAAATTTCCACTTGTCATCCCTAAATATTTGCAGTAGAATCCTATAATTGTGAAACGGCCATTGGACTTTTTTGCAGCATCCCATTGGTTTGTGGAATCCGGCTCAGCAAAGTGCCTCAAATATGCTTCCATAATCGTGCTTCTTAGGTTAGAATTACATTTTATAGAACTAGACTCGTGGTTTTGACAAATTTAAGTTACATTTGTGCCACCGACATCCAAACTTCCCAAGTCATTGGAGTTGGGTACATATGCAAAATATCTTGATGCCCTCCAACAGAATTCTCATTTCCACTCTTTTATGTCATATACCATACACCCATAAAACCCTAACACACTAGCGTCACTTCCAGCGGCTCCTTTTTATGTCCAACATTTCAAGAATCAATACTAATCTCGGTAGTTTTGATTCTTACATGCTTGAACCAGCATCCTTGCTTTATCTTCTATTGCCGCTAGCCCACTACACCCACTCTCGCATGAATCTCTTTTCCATGCACCGTTGAAAGAGAATTTTATTCATATATGATATATCTCCCAAGGAGGAAGCACTCAAATAACTCAATACATAGACTCCAGGGAGTATTGCAATACTATGTATTTGAATAGACAAACAAGGGATATGACTACATGAGCACATGTTTCCTACATACATGCATCTATTTTGTTTTGAAACACACTTTATCTTGTCTAGTCTTACTACATATTCATTTATCACAAATATCTCTACCACACTCATCTTTGGTTATTAAATCCTTTTTAATAGATTTAAAATGTATCCTTCTGCCTTTAGAGTATATTACTATCACATACGGTAGTATCTTTTGTCGCTCCCCAACACTGTACCAAAACCAAACCTGTATTAATTGTGTATATATCACTTCTATGCTGACAACTCACCAAAATCTTGTTGGAGAAAAAGGAAGACTCATGAACGAATTGTGCGGAAGAGAATGAACGATTGCAGTGAGACTGAGAATTTTTTGTATTTTCTTTAGTGGAATAGAAGGGATTCTCAATTGCAATTGTTATCTCATCTGCTGTTTTTTATGACAGATGAAGAAATAAAGGTAATTTTCTTACCTCTTAGGCACCTGGGTAAGATTCTTAAGAATCTTAATTTCATGTATAAAGTGTAATATTTCATGAATCACACATTTACAAGAAAATATGCCCTCATGTGGTAACATATATAATTGGAGGAAAAACTTCACCATTCATTTTTATGTCCCCCCTAGTCCTAGAAAAACATTCCATATTTCCTTTTTTGTGTGTCCCAAAATAACAGTCCACTTTGCTTTTAAGGAAAAATTTATGTGGCTCATATTTTTTTCTCCTCCCATGATTCTCAACCACAGAATTTCACATCCCATAACAATCGACCAATTCCATGGCGGAACCTTTTGTGGGACATGAGCAGTAACATGAACTCCAGGAGAAGAATTATTCCTTTTTGACAAAGTTGAAATTGAACCACCCCTCCCACCCCCCTCTTTTATTAAGGACTAAGGTAGTGCTGAATATTTTTTTGATATACCATGGAATGCATTTGAGCAATATATACGATAGGATTGCAATCAACAATAGTAAAGCCTCACGAATGGGGTTTGGGAGGCTGTGTGTACGCAGACCTTAACCCTACGGCCCTACCTAGAAAAGGTAGAGAGGCTGTTTCATAAAGACCTCTTCTCAAGAACAAAAGACAAAGCTCAGTACCCTTCACTAGATAAAGGAAATTACAATAGGATTGCTAAAGGAGTATATATTCAAGCTTTAAAGGAAAAATTCTTTGTGGCTGAGACGGAATTTGACAAGGTTCACCATGATTACAGCCTAGCTCCTGTAAAAAGAGTCTTACAGAGCAGTGTAAAAATAGTGAGACGAGACTAATTTCTATTTATGCACATAGTGGGTCAACATCTGTATTTTCCTTGTGCAACTTGTTGATTTCTTCAAAACCAGAGTTTCACATTTTGTTACATAACTTTAGGTTTTTCTTTGAATTTCATTTTTGTTGTCATGCAGGTGCCTAATGAGACACGCTTCTTTGTTCTTGAGATTGGGACAGAAGAGCTGCCCCCTAATGATTTAGTTGATGCTTGCAAGCAAGTATTTATCATTCCCTTTTGTCATCTTTTGTTGTGTCACCATTTCTTTGTTTTGTTCCTGACTTTGATTTTCTGTATTTTAGTAACCTTGTTTTATAATATATTGATTTGTTGGCTCTTCCTGCCTATTCAACTATTTTTTAGAGATACTGTTCTTATGCTATGTGATTTCCAATGCAGCTCAAAGATCTAGTCATTCAGTTATTGGATAAACATAGATTGACTCATGGCGAAGTGCAAACATATAGCACACCACGTAGACTTGTGGTATATTTATTTCTTCCCTTTGCTCTTGGTGGTTTTAGTGCATTCTCACTTTGTTCATCTTGTACAAAAAAATATAGAATAAATCTCGCTCTCTATTGTGATGCCAAAACATGGAACATTTGGCATTTCTTTAAACCAGAGCCGTGTTTGCTGTTACCAGTAACACACAACCTACCGTAGCCTTTGTTTTCTTGGAGGGTTCTGGAGGGAAGGGGTGTAAAAGAGATGTGCATTTGGTTGGGGGAGTTAAGGGGGAGGGAAGTGGAGGAACAATAAAATCTTTTAAACTCCTCATTGCTCCCCCAATTTGGTAGTTATTTTCCCTTGAATTTCCTCTACTTCCAATTTTTTTCTACATATTCATTGCAAGATCAATGTTTATCTGGGGGTTGCAATTCATATTTGTTGTCCAACATGGTATTAGAGCCATGCTTATTTGTTGTCCAACATGGTATTAGAGCCATGCTTTTTGAAATTATCAAGTAGAACTATTGCCTTAGAGTTTATAATTTTAATCAAATAGTAGTCAAACAAATGTTATCAACCACCCCATGATTTGTAATCAGCCACACAGCTGATCTGTAGCCAAGACACTCCACACACACATTGCCACTTAGGCATCTAGCTTCATCTTGAAGAGTCATTTAGGCATGGGGATGAAAAGTAGTATTATGAGTGGCATATCTGGAGTCAATGATTAATCAAGTGACTATACTTTTCTTGAACTGAGATTTTCAAGACTATTAAGAATGAGAAAATAAAGATTAGTAACTATGTCAGCACTCAAGATTCCACATTCATCCACTATGGTTAATCGGTTTCTTTTTGTTCTTTATACCCTTATGCACACATCTACTGTTAAGGCGAAAATAATGTTATTCCCCTTGCAGGTTGGTGTCCAAAACATGAATTCTAAGCAAGAAGAGGCTGAGATTGAGGTTCGGGGACCTCCTGTTTCCAGGGCATTTGATAACCAAGGAAATCCGACAAAGGTTGTACCCTTTTGATATTTATGACCAGTTATATTTAACTTCTCTTGGTGAAAGGTGGGATAATTTGATTGCAGCTGCCTTTACCTTTTACCTTGTGGAATATGGAAAATTGTAATTCATAGTATGCATATTGAGAATATTTTACTGATCACGATTGCTAAGGCAGCCTCTTATATGTATATGCAGTTAGTCAATTATGAGTTACCACTATTGCATACCTAGGCAGTTCTTTTGGGTTAGAATTGTTAACTTCCAACTCTATCCACTTGTAATTCCTACCAGTTTCTTCCAACATCCAACTCTATTTATCCAACCCAAAAGAACGGAGCTTTAAATGGGTTCTCTTGGTGAAATGTTGGTTGATTACTTGATTTACTTGAAGCCCACTTTAACTAGTTGTTTATATGGGAAATTGCTATCCATAGTTGCAAGTTGCAACTTAAAAAATGGTCTCTAAATTGTTTTTCATTTATAAAACTCATGAATGAACTTGAAATCTTGAATCAATACTTATCTTACATATATGGTTGTTAACTTTAAGGACTTGGTAGGCTGCTGAAGGTTTTTGCCGTAGTAACAATGTCCCCATAGAGTCCATGTACAAACGACGTGAAGGTATACACATATATGTATTTAGCTTTTATCTTGTTAATTCAATGTTTTCTCATCATCTCTTGATGTTACAAGTGTTTAGATTTTGCATGTATTCAAATATTTATTATGATAATTAGAGTCTTTATCCATATTTATATGAGCTATGTATCCTTCAAGGATTAAAGTAAAGCAATAACTTTTTTTTTTTTAAATTAACATGGTACTAGAGGATTTATTGCCAATACCTTAGCAACAAATTTCTTTTCTTTGTTGTGGTCTTCTCTCATGATTAGTACCCACAAAGGTTGCTCATCTTTCCTACTCATTTCTGGCAATAAACTTTACAAGCAAAACAACATACCAGAGCAGTCACATGGGTGGCTTCCACACGTGCAGAGCTCCGAACTCACATACCTATGTGTGAGGTTGTTTCAGGCGACTATCTGTGGTGAAAATTTCCAAATTGCTTTGTCAATACGCACCAATATGATTTTCAGTTTTTTGTTTTGAAAATGTAGTAAAGTTTTCATGTTCAAATTTCAATGGTTCATGCTCTAGTTCAAGTCTTTGTGTTCGTGGTGAAGTGTTTGGGATCATTTGCCCATGTTAAATGACCATGATCATGTGTTGAAGTCTCTATATTTTTGAGGAAGTTTAAGTCTTTCTTGAAGTGTGTTAGTGTGGCTAAACTCTGTCACAGAATGAATATCATGTGTTTTTATGGTCAAGGATGATGACCACATGTTTGTGTGGTCAGGAATTGTCAACATATGTTAGTATGGTCAAGGATGGTCATCATGTGTTCGTGTATCTCAAACTTAGAGCATACAACAACAACAACAACCCAGTTAAATCCCATAAGAGTAGGGTCTGGGGAGGGTGTGTGTACGCAGACCTTACCCCTACTCGAAAGTAGAGAGGCTGTTTCCAAAGAGACCCCCGGCTCAACGTCGAAAGTTGCATTGCTTGACTACCTGCTACTTCATTAATTAAAGAAGCGCAGACAGTTTAGAGATCCATTTTGATTTATTCCATCACACCCCAAAGCCAAAAAATGGTGAAATTTTGGCTCCATCGGATATGATGGAAATCAGGGCCGACTAAATTAAAAACCTAATTTACTGCCATTTGGGTCGAACCAAGACTAGGGCCGGCTGCCCTTCTTGGTCGAGCCTCCACACTCAATTCGCCCAACAATCTCCCACTTGGAGGCTCGAACAACGCCCCTTAGTATTCATCATCTGCAACTCTTATAATCCTCATTTTCCGCTAGTTGCAGCGGCCTTCTCTTCAGTTATCTGAAGGCCCGTTGAAGCTCCCACTGAGCTTCAACTCATTAGTCACAACCCGTGACTCGTTCTCTTTCTTTGCTAGCTCCGAGTGTGACTCGTTCTCAAACTTAGAGCATGTGAATAACAATTTGAGAGGGATAATAAAAAATGTTGGAATATGTTTCACATGTTTCTTGTGTTAGTGAGTATAGTCACGACTCACGAGTCTCTACATAGGAGTCTTCGCCATCTGCGCTCTCGTTTGGAGCAACGCAGAAGTGTTTTTTTTGCGGCGATCTGGAGCAATAGGTGAGCAGATCGACTCGGATAAAACCAGTGACGCTTAGGATTGCTATACCTAAGCGATCCGACCTTGGGAAATATACAGCAGGTTGGCTCAGGCCGCAAGATCTGCTCCTCCGCAGGTTTCGTTTGCCCTCCCCTCTTTTTTCCCCTCTTTTTTATGTAGTATTTTTTATATTGGGTATTCCCTTTGTTTCTTGTTTTTTAAAATTGCTTTGTAACGTGTGGGAGTGGGTTTCATTTTTCGATTTTCTAATCTAGTTTTATATCTAGATCTGTTTGAATTCACAGTCTCCCTAACTTTCTTCTCCTTTTTCCCTTCTTTTTTTCTTTTGTTTCCTATTTTTTATTTAAATTTACTTAATAACCTGTAACTTCCTTTTTAATTCTTGTTATTATTATTATTATTATTATCATTCATTATTATTATTATTATTATTATTATTCTTGTTGTTATTATTATTATTATTGTTGTTGTTGTTTTTGTTATTATTATTGTTATTATTATTTATATTATATGTTAGCCATTTGACCGCCCGCCTCTCGCCATTAAAAAGGTCCTCTCGCCCGCCCCTCGCCACTCGCCATTAACAACTATGGTTCCGGACCTTGGGTTTTTTTTAGAGCCATCTAGTTTTTAAAAGAGAAGTGTGCTCCAACTAGTGTGGCACAATTGTTGGAAGCAGTGGAAGGGGTATATAATGCTTTAACTCCAGAAACTCTAAATAAAGTATGGTTGACTTACCAGCAGGTGTTGAATAAAGTAATGGAACATGAAAGAGGTAATAACGATCTGTATGAACTTTTCAGGTACAGAACCCAAAAGCTTTCGAACCAATCTTTTGTCTTCAAATGCAGACCCAAGGTTGTTTGCTTGTGTTGCAAGTTGACTAAGTTTACCAGCAAAATCAAGTGACTCATTGTTGTTCATCTTTAGAGTCTCAAAATCTGATTCAAGTGTCGGTAATCGTACCGCTTTAACCCTGCCAACACCAACGTAGCAAGTCTTCAAAGCATTCCAAATTTCTTTTGCTTTAGTAAACTGAGCAACTTGTAGCACAATCTCTTCCGGCAAAGCTTGAAACAGATATGCTATTGCCATATTATTCTGCATTTGATCTGTTCTTCCTATCATTTTTCTAACATCTCTCAGTCACTATTGTTGACCTATGATGCCATCAACAACCGCCGCTGTCATGGCAATTGATGCCACCACCTCCAAAATGATTATTCCGAATTCCATATGCATTTCTTTTGCTGTTATTGGACTAACTTGTTGGAAACGCGAAGTGCCAAGTATACATCTTGATCCTTGTCCGTTCAGAAGTGGTTTAGAAGTTACGGTTTATGATCTTTTTCTAGAGAAGGAAATTGGAAATAAAGAATTACCAATGGTCCGACACACCAATTATCTTCAATTTCATTTACTTTGGCAATCCATTTATGCCAAGTTGTATGGTATCTTCAAAATGTAACACACTTGTTTCCAAATCTCAGTTGCACTTTTTTTTGGAGTATTTTACATTCTCTTAATGCTGAAATTCTAAATGTGAACATTAATTTGACATCTTCATTTTTATTAGTTGTCAATTGTAGTGTCCACCTTGTCATTCTACCACATGGAAGTAGATTTGCTTACTTTTACCCATCATTGCAGGTAAAACAGAATACATCTATGTTCGTGTAGTGGAGAATGCTCGGCTTGCTCTAGAGGTACATTCTATCACAACCTTGTTTTTACGTTATTTTAAACAAGAAGATCCCTTTTAGCAAACTCCCCCGACTTGAGCATTAGTGGATTTTGGCGGAAGGGATGAGAATGGGATGTCACATTTTTCAAAACCTGCCATGTTTCAAATTATGCCTCTTATAACTGAAGGAATCCATGTTGTTCTCAAAATAAATTGCACTTCTCCCAGTATGTACCAATTATGGATACAATATGAGACATTCTTTGGTATAGTTATGTAGTTTGTACAATAGGAAAAAAGAAGAAATTTAATTTGGGAGAAATGTTGAGTGTCTGATGTGAAATTCATGGACAATTGATGCTTTTTTAATATTTGGAGAAATTGAAAGACTATCATGTTATTAATGAATTATGAAACACACATTACGGGAGAAGAGCAATTTTATAAAACATGAGACATGGGTACTATGAAATAGTACCCATCCATTGTTATTGAATCTCAACCTTTAGATTCAAGATCAAGTTCTTTCACCCATTACTTTTCTAATAATAGTAATAATAATAGTAATTATAATAATAATGATGATAATTCAGTAATTTTTTTTTGTAGCTTTTAAATTGATAACAATATTATCCAATTGGTGTTTAGTTTGGGCACCTAGTCTGTAGCTCCAGGCCTTGGTTAGGTGCTTTGTCGACTTGGGTCCTAGGAAGATATCCACGCTTAATTGTGCAGGGTTTGTCTCGGCTGCCGCCTTTAAGGACACAGACATGGCGCACTTCACGTTTTACAAATGGTTCTCATATGTGATAATCGAAGAGCATTCCATATTTCTTCTGATCTAGTATATCATTAGAGGACACTCATAGAATTTGGCTCTCGTTTCATTATAAAATACCCAGACCCTACTGTAGTGGGATTCAACTGGGTTGTTGTTGTTGTTGTTTCATTATAAAATAAATCATAGCCAGTTACATCACTAAGAGAATTCTCTTTTCAACAGATGCGTTTGCAGACATTTTTACCAAATCCTGCTTAGACAAAAAAACTTGGTGCATAAAATTCTTATGCTCCACCTTGAGGAGTTTAGGGGAATGTTGACTGACCCTACGTTCGTGTATAAATGTAGGCACCGTGCACTGAGATTAACACAAGTTAATATAGACTCTCTTTACTACTACTCTTATGTTCGAAATATTACAACAACTACAACGTACCCATAAAAATCGCACAAGTGGGGTCTGGGGGTGAGTGTACGAACACTTTGCCTCTACCTAGAACATTAGAGAGGTTGTTTCCAAATGACCCCAGCTCAAACACAAAAAAACTTATGTTAGCACAATCCAACAAGGTAAAAACAAGAGAGATAGAGAGGAAAGGAAAGCTACCAACAGAATTACTCCTATGTAGGCCCATCCCACAACTTTAATTCTTGATATTCAAAAGCTTCCTCGGGTCATGTTCTCGGTAAGTGTAGAAAACCACATATCCTAGCTAATGACCTCGCTCCAACCCTTCTTTGGTCTCCACATTCCTGGCTTCGTGTCTGCCGCCCCTCTTCACATTCCTGACCTTCACTCTCTCGCACGTTGTCACCAGTACACCTCATCACGTATGGAGGTGTACTAGTTTCCTTTACATTTTCTGGTGGGGTGATGTAGGTATAGGACCTTGTTCTTACTCTTTTTGTGAATGTTGGTTAAGTATCTGTGCATGCTTCATCTTGGCCGGGAAAATTTCACTTTTCTGTGTTACAGTTAGAGTCCTAGATTTAGAAATCATAATGTTTCACATTCCTATTTGGTTCATATCCAATGTATCTATAGATCTATAAAAGCATCATACGAGTCTTTAGAAATTATATAATTGAAAGTAATGAGTTTTATATCAAAAATGAAACATACAAACTTCCAGTTTTGTTATTCACTTTAGTACATTAATGTCATTATTAGTGCGTAGTGGGGAATTTACTTTAAACCATAGAGTTGGGGCACTAACAATTGACACTTGAAGCTGATTTTGAGTAGGTTCTATCTGAAGAGCTACCGGGAGCAATAGCAAGGATATCATTCCCAAAGATGATGCATTGGAACTCTGATGTATGAATTGGGATAAACTTGCCATCTTCCATTTCCCATTTCTCATTGTATTTGTCAATATAGTGTTATCATACTACATCATTTATAACTTAATAGTTGCTTTTTTATTAGTTGGTTTTCATCACATATTTTAAATTGTCAACTTGAATTATTTCATCATAATTTCTCATTTTAACTTTTTTAGCTGAAGTTGTGTTGCATATTCTTTTCTTTAGGCTCTCTTTAGCAGGCCTGTTCGTTGGATTTTGGCCCTTCATGGAGGTGTTTTAGTTCCCCTTACATTTGCTGGTGTTGTGAGGTAAGTTTACATTTGCCAGTTCCCTTCATAAAAAGTGTTTGTTTTCACAAATATAGCTTGGTAATCAACAAATATAGTTTTAAGTTTATGTGTTTGGTTCAACCTTTGGGACCCCTCTTTATAAAAAAAGAAAAGTTAATATGATAAGAAGTTGCTCTTTTGTACTAATTGGATTTTTTCAGACAAAGTAAGTTTATAAACGAGTTTTTTATAGGACAAAGGGACTAATAGTTTTTTTGACAACATCGGCAGTAGTGGTTTTGTTATTTAACATTATGTTATGCTACATCTGGAGGTTAATCTCATGTTGTGGTACATCTGGAGGTTAATCCTCAAAACAAGATATCTAATACAATATTCTTGTCAAACTTTATAATTCATACTCTCTCCTTAAATTAACTTCAATTTTACTATTCACAAAGTAACTTCAATTTTACTCTTTCCTTAAATTAACTTCAATTTTACAATAAAATAGTCAATCCAACTCTTGTTTTATGGAACTTTTGATGTAGTTTTTAAATACTCCCTCGGTCCCTAAATCATTTACTCTTTACGCAAAACAAAGTAAAATCCAAATTTTTTCAATTCATTTTATTTAAAGATTGGTATATAATTAACAAATAAAATTTTACATATTTAAAAAGTATATCAAAAGTTCTACAATAAGAGATGATAAGAATATTTTATTTTATCAAATGGTCAATGAGAACACACAAATAAACAAAAGTTCTCGTGATTTTTGAATAGTAAAATGTGTAAATCATTTAGGGACGGAGGGAGTATATAAATTTTATTTTAAATTTTACACTAAAACTTAAATTGTTTGAATTGAAAATAAATTCACTCAAACATCAGAGATTGTATGTAGGGACGGATGGAGTATTATTTTTGTCCTTGTCCTTTCATTAAGTTTTTGATGCATTTATCTGGTAAGTGCCACATGTTATGCCACGTGTTGCCATGTTACATGTTAGCCGCTTGGCTGCTTGCACGATATTATTGTACAGTTTGTACTCCGTATTTATTAATTCTTTAAATAGTTCTAATAGTACAATTATACAAAGCCTATGCGGCTAATGGCATGTAACTTGAAACTTAATGAAAATGAATGCAATAACTTAATGAAGGATCAAAATGGTTCAGGAGTCAAATTTGAGGACTAAAATGATTGATGTTTAGGACTTTAGGTTGAAGACCAAATGGATTTAGGATATATGGACAATAGTTTGAGAACTCAAAAATGTACTTTATCTTGAAAAGTTACACTGATTGTTCTCACAAGTTTTATGAAAAAGCAATATGAAACCTCGTTTTAAATTTTTAATTATTTTTTCATGCAAATTGTGAGTGCTTCTTTTCATAAGTTTTAATTTTTTTACCCTCTTTTATTCTTTTTCGTAGTGGAAATGTGTCTCACGTTCTGCGTAATACTGCATCAGCCACTGTAGAGGTATGACTAAACTAACCAAAATATCATGCATCTATAAAAGAGTGTATTATGTCAATTGCCAATGGTTATAAAAGAGTCGTAGTTGAGAAATTTTTAGTTTGGGTGAATAATGGACTAGATCAAAATAGCAAAGTTTTGAGGGAGAGGGGCTGGGAGTATATGTTTTGTTGTAATGTGCGTGAATAATCGTAGGACTTATGCTTCTGGAAAATGCTGCAGGTTGTAGATGCAGAATCTTATGTTGGTGTGATGGAACATGCCGGCATTTTTGTTGATGTTGAGGTAATGGGAATTTTAATGGGGAGTTTACCAGTTTGTTTGCACTTTGCACGGTGCTGACTTATAAGGGAAAAATATGGCACTCACTGCATCATTTTGCAGCAACGCAAGAATTTTATAATGGAGCAGTCTAATGTTCTTGCAAGGAGTGTAAATGGTTTTCCTATTATGCAGACTGATTTACTTAAGGAGGTAAATTCAGAATCTTTATCTCATTTTTTCAGTCTTTGGTTAGCCAGGATTAATAAAATACATATTGCTTTTGGTTAGGTTGTAAATCTTGTTGAGGCACCTGTGCCAGTACTTGGAAAATTTAAGTTGTCCTTCCTAGAACTTCCAAAAGAACTACTGATGATGGTAATGTTTCAGTCAATCCGAGAACTTATTTCTTATAAAAATATGAATTATGTCTATGTTGATCTGCTAGCTTGTAAAACAAACTTTTCAACATTTCTTAGTGTATCGTTTGCATGAATACCTTGGAACTTCCATAAATAATACAGGTCATGCAGAAACACCAGAAATACTTTGCAGTGACTAACGAGAATGGGGATCTGTTGCCTTACTTCATTGCAGTAAGACATTATTTTGTCTTTCACCTCTTATAATGACCAGTTAATCTTGAGTGGCAATGATTATTTTTTTATAGTTTTGTTACTGCATTGCTTTAAAACATTGATTTTGTCCTCGAGTCTATGTTAAGAACTTTAGGCTCTGCTCTTTTGGATTGGATGAATGAAGTTTGGATGTTGGAAAGAATTGAAAATGTTGGAAGGAGCGGGAAAGAACTAAAAATTTAAGACTTGGGAAAAAATATAATTCTTGTTAATGTTTTTTTGTTAAAGTCACTTATAATATTTGAATCAATTCATATGACAACAACAACATTACCCCAGGCACCCACCCATTGCGGGGCAAGGGGGTTGGATGTTCGCAGCCCTATGTTTAAAATATAGAGGGGTTGTTTCCACATGACCCATGATGATCGTCGAAACTTGCATTGACTAACTGCTACTTCACTATTGAAAGAAGTGCAGACAGCTTAAAGAGTCGGTTTGCTTTGTTCCATCATACCACAAAGCCAAAAAATAGTGAATCTTTAGAGATGATGGAAACATATTGAATTAATTTATATTATTTAATTATGATCGATAAGAAATACTTCCTTCCTCCCAAGATATATTTGCCCATTTTCTCTTTTTTGAGTCAAATACAATGAACTTTAGTCATCAATGAAATAAAAATTGCATTTGCAAAGGGTATGTGTACACATGCCTTACCCTTACTGGAAAGTAGAGAATCGATTTCATAGAGACCTTGACTTGAGCAACACAAAGGCACACAATGCACAAATATAATAAGCAAAGAACAAACTAAGGATAAAGAAAAACACAATGAGACAAAAAACACAAAAAAACTTGCATTGTGCTATGAAATAATTGTTTTTTCACAGAATAACTCTAATGCTATCACTTTATATTAACAAGCAACACATTTCTTATTTAATTGATTATCGATTTTCAAGAAATTTGATTGAAAAAGTCAAATCATACAACTACTTTGGGACTGAGGAAGTATAATATTTATTTTATTGACAAAAAATGTTTTTTCACTTATAACTAAGTGAACAATAAAATGTTCATATAAAAATAACTATTGTGAACATTTTTAACAGAATTATCTTGTGGATGCTACACAATGCTAAACAAAATGGTACAATATGAAAAGTATGGATAGGTATAAGTTTAATTTGTTATGTTGGAATAGTAGACTTATAGCATTAGTTCACTTATCAAATGCTTAATGACATTTTGGAGTAAAATTAAAAATACTTTTTGGATGGAAATAAACATATTTATGCAATATTAGAAAAACAATATGAAATATTGCAAAATGATCTAATATAAGATAATTGGATTACTAAAATGGTATGCAATTGATTTTTTTGGTTCAATATAACCTTTTCTATATGTGATCCATATTTTTAGGGTATGTTATAAGTTTATATACTTCTATTACGAATTAATTATATTTTTTACAATTAGTTTCAATTTCATTATTATTTACCTTACATTGATAATAATAATATAATACTAATAATAACAATAATTTGTTTATTTGAAATAAAGTATCTTGCGTTCTTTTATGGCCAAGGTTCGGGTGATCATGATTATCAATGTCATCCGATGACATGGTCCCACGGCCCTTACCATGCTCTTAAAATTGATGGTTCCTGCCCCCAACCCTCGGTAAACGGCCTCGACCCGAACCCACTCCCTTGAATTGTATGCCCAAATTTAATTGACTTTGGAGTCAAATTGTTTGACTCCAAAGTCAACTAAACTTGAGGGTTTAATTGAAGGGCGTGGGAGGGGGGGAGGGGGAGGTTCGGCTCGGTTCGGGGTGGAATCGAGGGTTTAACAGGGGGTAAGAATGGTAGGAACCATCGATTTTATGACGGAGGCACTATATGGGCCCCAATTGGTGTCCATGGCATAGGATGACATGGGGTTCTGATGTCAAGGGAATCCCCTCTATTCTTTTATTATATTTTAACCTAAGTTTAATTTTAAGATATGCCTCTCTACTTCTCGGGTAGGGGTAAGGTCTGCGTTTACACACCTTCCCGAGACCCTACTCTGAAGGATAATTTTGGGCTTGTTGTTTTAGTTTTGAGATGAAATCAATCTTAGGAAGGTCATCTATATAAAACTTAAATAAAAAATATCGCCATTGGCATATAAATACTTTATGAGTAAATGTTAAAAATTTAGTAGAATAGCCGTAAATAATTTGGAAGAAACTAGGAGTGGAAATAAACTGGAAGTTTAAATTCCAACTTAAAAGAGCATGACCCTGATCTTGAAGTTGGTTTCCCTTTACTTCCTAGTGTTATACTCCCTCCGTCCCAAAATGATTTACCTCTTCACTATTACGGCCTCTCGATAACTTTTATTTGTTTGCATGTTTTCATAAATGAGTTCATAAAATAAAATATTCTCGTCACCTCTTATTTTTTTAGATTCTGATGTAGTTTTTTAATATATAATTTTATTTTTTTATTTCAATACCAATTTGTAAATAAAATCATTTTAAAAGTCACAAGATTTTACATGTTGATGGAAAGGGGTAATTCATTTTGGGACGGAGGGAGTAAAATCCCTTGCATGGCTCCACCTAAGTGGATAGGCGTCCTTTAGCCACCTATGATATTTCTCGAGCTAACATCGTCTAGGCCTTGATCGATTCCCGACTAATCTTGTCTGGTCGCTAAGCTCTAGATTCTATTCTACCGCATGGGGGTCATGTAAGGTTTTATAGAACATTGCTTTTTAGGTAGCCATTCTTGTTGTTACTCTTTCTGCCGTATTTGTATGTATTTATATGATACATGAACCATTTATTCGTCCAAGTAACTTCTGTATATGTGCATTTTCTTTAACCATTTCATTTGACATAAATTGTGTATCATACCTCTTTGGGATGTTTGGAGTGTTTTTATTTTTATATTTATAATTTCAAGGTTGCAAATGGTGCAATTAATGAAATGGCAGTGAGGAAAGGAAATGAAGCTGTACTCGGGTTAGTGCTTTCTTTTTCTTTTGCTTTTTTGGTTGTTTTTCTAAGTGTCTATCTAATTATGTATTGCTTAATTCAATTTGTTCCATTAGTGTTTATTTTAAAATTACCTTGGCTCCTTATAATTAATTTTTGGGTGTAATTTCTGTTGATGGTTTTTTCATCTGTTTAGAGCTCGGTTTGAAGATGCAAAGTTTTTCTACGAGTTGGATACAAGTAAAAAGTTTTCTGAATTCCGAACGCAACTAAAAGGGATACTTTTCCATGTAAGTTGAGTTTTCTGATTTTTCATGTTTTGAAAAAGCACATAGAATTTTATGCAAAAAAATGTTCAATTACCCTGAAAGCCTGAAGTATACAAAAACTGTGTTACTAGCCCTATACTTTACAACAACAATGTCTGACCAGTAAGATCCCAAAATCTCACATCCTGGGGTGTGTGTATACTGTATACGTAGATCTTACCTTTACTTGGAGAGTAGAGGCTTTTTCTAAGAGACTCCAGCTCAAAACACGGGAGCACAACGACACATGAAAGTAGCACGAACAAAGTAAGAGCACAAACAAAAACAAGCACACATGCAGAAACTACATACTTAGGTACAAAAACAAACATACAGAACTACAAACTTAGGCACAAAAGCTCACATGCAGGAACTATAGGCTCAGGCCCAAAGGGAAAATGGAGATTATTTAAGGTTGGCCTAAAAAGGAAACTAGGAATATAAAAGGGGATGGAGGAAGTGTATCATCTCCTATCCTGTTTACTTTTTGATATCATAGTTTGGAACTCGGATAACATTCTGATCTGGTGGAAGCAGGAAAAACTAGGAACAATGCTAGATAAGATGATGCGTGTTGAGCAAATGGTTGGTGAAGTTAGCTTGTCTCTCGGTGTAAATGAAGAAACTCTCAAAGTTATCCAAGATGCAGCATCATTGGCCATGTCAGATCTCGCTACATCAGTTGTTACTGAGTTCACTTCCCTCTCAGGGACAATGTCGCGTCACTATGCTTTAAGAGATGGCTATCCAGAGCAGGTAAGTGTGTTTTTCTTCAAAATTATCTCATTAGTCCTTTCAAAAAGTCTCATTAGTCATTTTTAAGAATCACAGCAATTATTTCAAAAAAGTCTCATTGGAACACAAGCAAACACATTTTATTAATACACGGCACCTTACAATACACAACTCTTACATAAAACTCACTTAGAGAATACATGGTTTAAAACTTTAAATTGATATGTAATATGTAATATTAGGAATCTAACCCAATGTGACAAACATGTGTGTGGTGATACCTAAATCAGACATTGGGTGCTAAGCCCATGTGATATCATGGAGTAATAAACATGTGAGCTGTCATAATAGTATGATGTTAGTTCATTGGTTCCATGCGTTCCTCTCTCATTAAATAGGGTGTCATTTGTGACTTAACATATTTGCCTCACTCAAAAGCTAATGTAATATGACACTCCTAACCCGATTGTATTGATTTCTTTCACCTTTTCTTCTGACATTTAGCTTTTCAACTCTTAGCTATCTTTTAGCTTTTTAGTAACATATCAATCATTGTGACAAACAGAATCACTGTGTTTTGATAAATTCCTTGTTCCACTAAAAAACCTAATTTTAATCAACTAACCACAATTTCCAAATATTCTTCTTATTTTTTATAGGTTGCAGAAGCGTTATTTGAGATCACACTTCCACGGTTTTCAGGAGATGTAACCCCGAAAACTGTTCCTGGGACAGTATTAGCAATTGCTGACAGGTGAGCCCACATCCTGCAAAAATTTTCAATAAGAATTCTGGCATCTTTTAAAATTTCAATTTTTTGGTGAATTGTAAATATATCTTGAATTGTACAAGATAGGATGGATAAACCCTCCAGAGCATAATCATGGCATAAACATAACGGGTAGAAACAATAGTGAGCAAATGTCCAAAGACCACCGTGGTGATAGTCGCCCAATCTAAATTAAAGCTATTTCTTGCCTTCGATACAGTGTAGAGTGTGCATTGAAAGCCCAAACTTGTTGCGTTTGAGATCATCTGTTCTCTTTGCAAAGAACACTGTCCACCCTTACTAAAGCGCTTGTCTCATGTCCTATGATCAACCAGTCTTGCACTGAAGTCCACACAACATTTGAGGCCGAGAAAGCAAAGAAGAGGTGATTTCCAGTTTCCTAGACTATCCTACACAAACGGCATATCCCGTTGATATCAAGAAACATCGAGCAATCTAAAGCAGCCTGTGTACCCCTTAATGCAAGAGTAGTTCTTCCAAACCATCGTCATCAAAGGCTTCTTAAGCTGTTTAAGTACTCCGTGACTTGATAAAGTCTTCATCTTTGTTTAAAGGAGCGTACTCCACTACTGAAACTCGCTAGGGGGAGAAAGGCGCACCCAGGCATTTGACTGGGAATCCCCTTTTCGGAAAGTTGACATGTCCCATGATGTATCCCTTTCCATTCCACGGGCTTCATCCAAGAAGATGTTAGACTCGAATAGGCTAACAGTAAGGCCGGAAACAGCCTGTAAACCTCTAAGGCATCTCACAACATGACAATAATGTCCACGGAGAAGTAGTCATCCCTGGAAGTCTTACGCAAAATGCAGAGTAACTTTGATTTTATCACAGCAAGGGTGAAAGTTGAACCCGAAGGAAAGGGTCCTAGCCTTTAGCATCTGGGAAAAACACTCCACGCAAGTAATGAATAAAGAGGGAGACATATCCCCTTGCTTCAAGCCCTTAAAGCCCTTGAAGTACAGATGCAGTCTACCATTAATATATAAAGAGGAGGTGGCGGTGATGGCCTGCATAATACAATGCACAAAAAGATTCAAGAAGCCAAGTCCAAGAAGGTCAGATTCCTGAAAGCCCTAATTAACAGTGTCATAACTCATAAGCCTAATGCACCTGGTGGGAGACTCTTTTCTAAATTAGCTGTCATACCAGCACTTGGGTTGAGATGTTATCCGTCTACAAATTTATGGAGTACTCAAACAATTCAATATACAAAGAACACAAGTTGTGTCTTACTGTCTCAAGTTGCTAATAAATACTGGTGATGAATATAATAGTTATAATAATAATTAAACTAAAAAGTGAAGGTGAGTCGATGGAGTGGACAAGTTGAAGAGGATTGAAGAGCTCCTATTGCGATTGGCTTAGAGAGGCAAGTTGATGGCTTGATGGAGTGGAGTGACAAACAGATCCAAGTAGATCTGACTCATCTGAGGATCCGACAATGTTCAGAACATATTTGACAAGGCTACGAGCAGATTAAACGACTATGCGATGCCAAAGTGACAACTACAGTGCCGATGGAAAATGTGGCGAGGCATCAGGCACAGAGCGCCATACAGCCTAGGCAATGATATGGCAATTCCATAACAGATATGCAAGCCACACTGCCTTAACTTTGTGCTAAGGACCGTTTCTGAAGAAAAACAGAGGGGTCTGAATGGGTGGCCTCCACGCCGGGCCAAGAGCTGAGCATGGGCCTCTGTACTAAGGACCTTTCCCCAGAGAAAAAACAGAGGGGTCAGAACTCAGAATGAGTGGCCTCCACGGTTTTCCCAAGCAAGGCCTCGTAGAAATCCACATATATTGGCCACCTCAGCACTGGACAGTGTGACGCTACCATCCTATTTAAGCACACAAGAAATGTTCTTTGAGGTCTTCTTCACAATACCATGAAAGTATTAAGTATTTACTATTAAGTGCTCTTTTCTGCCTCCAGAACATGTTTGCATTGTGGTTTTGTTGGAAAAAGAACTTTTCCAAATCACAAAGGAATGGTTTCCATTAGAATGGCTTGGATTTCCTGGGGTCTTCCATAAGAATGGATCTGATTTCCTTGAAGTCCAACTTAGCTCTTTTGCTTTTTGAGAAATGTGGTCATACTCCCTCTTATTAAGTTTCTTCCAAGGTTCTTTAAGAAACTTTATCTTTAAGCAAAGAGTAAACTGGGCAGTTGCTTCCACCTGTTGGTTCCAAACGGCCAGCACAACAGAGGAAGAAGAATGGTGCTCTAGTCTCATATTTAAGAGTGAAATGCCTTGTGCCATGAGTTGCACTTGGAGCCATAAAGCAACATTGGGACAATTGTGAGACCAGGGCGCTATAGTAAGAAAGATAGCATTGAGAGGGAAGTTAGAACTTAGAAGAACCCCAAGAGTCATTAACCATGAGATGATCCAATTTGACCCACATAGTTGGCCTCAGTGTCAAGTGAAAAACTGCCCTATCAGATGGCACATCATCAAGTCCCAGTGTCATTCTTAACTCCAAAAAGTCTTTAACTAGATATGCTGGGGGAGGAACACGGCTAATTCTCTCATTGACGGGCGCCACATAATTAAAGTCTCTCATGAAAGCCCATGGGCCAGTAAGGCCACTATCGATGTCCACCAGAGCTTCCCAAATAAGACATCTCTCCGCAACAGAGTACAAAGCATAAACCAAAGTAACAGCAAAGTTAGCTTGGGAGACAAGGCACTTCCCCTTACAATGAATAAATTGTTCACCACCTTCCTTATTGTGATGCTTTTAGGAGAAGTTGGTTCACTTGGTTGTTTATTAACCCATCTTTCATGTAGGGCTGTAAACGGGTAATATCCGCGGCAGAAATGGCATATCCAAATCCAAATCCGATTAAGTTTTGAGATATCCAAATGCGTATTCGTATCCGACGGATATTTACATTTCTTTATCCGAATTCGTAACCTAGAGATAATTCTCAATTTCGGATATATCTGGATCCGATTATATATCCAAAACCGACCAAATATTTGAATATGACCGAATGTCAATGTGTTCAAACCCGAAAACAAAAATGTAAGATGGGGGCAGAGAGGTTCGAACCCAACACCTCCAACCTTAAAATTCAAAGTTGTAGCCATCTAGGCTAAATCAAACGCTTGGTATTTGTAAACAGTACATAATATATATTTGTTCCTTAGTACATGTTGTGTTCTAATTTTTTTAGCAAAATAATCTACATCTAACTGTAATATTTTGTATTTTTTCTTTAAATAAACTTTGTAATATTTATAATTATTGGCATTTTTATGTTATGTCATTATATTTTATATTATTTAAAATTAGTTCAAAAAACTTGGAAATTTTTTTTAAACATAAATATGAATATTTTATACCAAGTTATGGGTCGTTGACTTGAGTCAACTCGGTTTGACTGGTTGACGCTTGACCCAGTTGCTAGTTCCGTTCGACGTCTGATCAATGAAAAACGTGGAATACATGAAAGAACTACTTTCTAAATAGTAAATACCTAACCAAAACGAATGATTCGAACAAAAATATAAATTCATATTCGACCAAGTACTTTATGGAAGTAATGGTAAGACACTAAGGTTAAGGACTTAGGTTGCGTTCCGTTCGTCTGATCTGACCTGATCTGATTTTTTGAAGATCTGGTCTGATCTGATTGGAGTTATTATTAAAGCTCTTTCTGATCTGATCTGATTATAATAAGAATAAGTAATAAGAATAAGTAATAAGCAGAAAAAATAAGTTGAACGGAACGCTGCCTTAGAAGGTAAGGTATATTTTTGGATATATGGGCCAAGTATAAATGTATTATGGGTTGGGTAGAGAATTATATTTATTAAAATAATGTTAATTCAGTATTCAGAGAAATGGATATTCGGATAGACGGTTTTTAAACAGATGTATATCCGGATTGGATATACAATTACTAAATCCGCTTCCGTTTAGTTATCGGATGTTCTAAATCGGATACGAATAATATCCATTTAAAATGGATGTGGATTATTCTTGTTTAAACTGATACAAATGCGGACGGTAATCGAATTTTCGGTTATCCATTCACAACCCTGCTTTCATGCCATGCAATCAAGAGTCTGTTGGGATTACCCAACTTATATCCTAGCCATTCTTGCTATGATTATGTATCAATGGGATTATTGTTATCCTCATCGTAGTTATGTTATCTTTTGCTCTTAACTTAGAAAGTTCCCAAAGTTCATCCTAACTCATAGAGTGCATGTCATTATATTTGATTGGTGAATATAACGTCTTTTTTATTGTCTTCCCTTGTGTCAGGGCTCAATTTATTTAATCCCATACAATGTTAAACTGCAGGTTGGACAGCCTTGTTGGCTTGTTTGCTGCTGGCTGTCAACAAAGCTCCACTAATGATCCCTTTGGCTTGCGCAGGATTGCTTATGGTCTTGTATGTTTTGTAATGTCAATTAGTATGGTCAGTTTTGAATTTGTCAATAATTCTCATTTGTCTATTGTAGGTGCAACTTTTGGTTGAAACTGACAAAAAAGTGGATTTAAGACAATCTTTGCAACTTGCTGCTGCTGTTCAGCCTATAAAAGTACATGCGAGGACAGTTGATGATGTATGACCTTGCATTATCCTATCTTGAAGTTTCTAGAATCAGAAAGAAATTTAATTTTTTTTGATGCTCTATGAATCTATGATTTCTGTATTGCTTGAGCTGAGGTCTTTTGGAAACAGTCTCTACTTTTAGGTAGGGGTAAGCTCTGCCTACTCACACCCTCCCTAGACCCTACTTTCGTGGGATTCTACTGGGTTGTTGTTTGATACCATATGCTGCGTAGGCATATTCAACATACTCAGTCTTAGTCTTCCGTACATTGAATGTGCTTATGCGATATATGTTTTGTGCCTTGTGCACTGTCCCTTAACTGTGCACTTGTCATCATGTCTGTCTGTCTGAAGTTGATTTTGCCTCATGTATAGGTGCATCAGTTTGTGACCCGAAGATTAGAACAATATCTGGTATGTGGATCATTCACCTTATATAACTTCCACTTGCTCATGCTGAATGTATCTGATTATTAGTGTGTGCTTCTACATTTTGTGTGTGTGCATATAATTATATTGGAACAGGTTCCGGACTCTCAGTTTCAGACACATTACATTTACTTAATTGCAGATGGATAAAGGTATAGGCCCTGAAATAGTTAGATCTGTTCTTGTGGAGCGTGCAAACTGGCCTCATTTGGCAACCAAGTCTGCACAAAAAGTAAGTTGCATATACGTACATATTATAGATATCATTCTGTCTTTCAAAAAAGGTGATTCAGTCAATGGGCTAAATACTTCCCACAAATTTGTAAAAGATAATAATACCCCAACACAGCCAGCACTAGCAACTCAAAATGAATTTTTTGGGCCAACACTAATCACACCCTCTATGGGAGCATTTTCCAAACACTCTTCATTGTTCTTGGTAAAGATTGTCAAAAACTCCTCATTGTTTTCGGCAAGTGTTGGTCTAATAATACTCTTTCAACCAACAGCTATAGACCACTTTTTTTTAAAATAACAACACCTAGAGAAATCTGAATGCTCCTCATTGGGATCAGTTAATGTTTGCTGAATGCTCTTCATTGTTTTCGGTGAGAATGAGTTGAACTTTTTTTCAACTTGTGATGTGTTAAGTAAACTATTGGGTGCAGATAGACGCACCCTTATGGTTTATTTTGACAGAGGGTTAGGTGGGGAAGGGCCGGAAGGCAAAGACGGGAATGCTTAGTCTATATTGTGATATAGACTTAAGCTCCGTTCCGTTCAACTTATTTTTTTTGATCTGATCAGATTTTTTGTAGTTCTGATCTGATCTGATTGGATCTGATCTGATCAGATGTGATCTTATTGGATATGATCTAATTAATTATGATTTGATTTAAAATTCAAATCAATAATTTAATCTGTCTTTATAATAGCTTTTGAAAATTGTAATGATAATTCATATTATAATCAATATTTTTTATTTTATGATTATTTACACTAAAATATACTTCGTGTATGAATATCAAATGTTAATTTTATTTAAGTCATGATCAAAGTTGATCAACTCAATGTAGTAAAAGATCAAAACTTTAGAAACTCAAATTACAGGTAGCAATAAAAATGTGTTTTAAAAGTAGAATTAGATTTACATTCTCAATGTATTTTAATAATAATTTTTCCAACATCTAATAATTAAGGATTACTTTCTTAGTTTTCTATTTAACTTGTTTCTAAAGTTTATTCTTTTTCATTTTTAAGAAAAAAATTGTGCTTCCTATCATTTTATTTTTCTCTACATAATTTATAATCGCACAAAAGTTTCATTTTCTTTCTTCTTATACTTTTTCAAGAGAAATTAAATTTATTTTTTGAAAGAATCGTATCAAGTGAAACAAGTAAAAAGTATGGAATTTAAAATAATAATAATAATAGTAATTATAATAATGATAAAAATAATTATTCTTGATTGGATTTGATCTGATATGGTCTGATCTGATTGGATCTGTTTAGATCTGATCTGATCTGATTTTAACAAGAATAAGAAAAAAGCAGAAAAAATAAGTTGAACGGAACATGGCCTTAGTCTAAGCCTTCGAACCCCTTACATCCCGACATTATCCGTAGTGAATTCCATTTCCTTTAGCATGGTACTTATTTTATCTTTCTTGTTCGGAATGAACCACAGATGCAACACTTGTCAAAAGGTGAACTTCTGGCCAAGGTTGTGGAAGTATATTCTCGTCCAACGAGAATTGTGCGTGGCAAGGATGTGAATGCTGATGGGGAGGTATTTTATGCCCCACATGGCTTATTTGTCTTGAATTATGGTTTTGTTATTGCATTTTGGTTTTTCTTTGACTGATAATAATAATCGTTGTGCATTTTTTCCAAAAATGCTGGATTTTTTTATGACTCAGCAACACTATTTAAAACTTGAGATCTTGTGAGTCTTTATGAGAAAGGGTTATAGTTAAACTCATAAAGACTACCNTTGATTATTTTTTCAAACAGAGATGCCTACATTCTCTTTTGTCCATGGGTGGGGATGGAACTTTCCAAATAAATATAAGATCAAACCTCATAATTTCTGTAAAAGAATGAGCTATGGACTTTGGTTCACCATGCATGCATGGGTATTGTACTACATCTGCTACACTGACATTATTCCATTCTTTTTTTGTGCTAATTCTATGTTTAGGTGGAGGAAACATCTTTTGAAACAAATGAAGAACATCTTCTATGGAACACTTTCTTGTCATTAAGAAGCATTATTCATCCTGGTATTTTGCAAGATATACTCTAATTAATGTCTATTTAATGTCTTAATCTGACTATTTCTTTAAAACAAAGTATTGCGACGGTCCTTGTGGATGTTAACACAATTTGATTTCTGCTGACTTCTTAAAATGTCATAGTGAGGAGAGTAATATTGTAGTTTAATGGGGTGCTTAGTGTAATACTGCATGGCCTTGCATCATATGACCTAAGTTACTACTCATCAGTTCAATTTATTTTCTTATTATTATTTTATGATCAAATAGTTGTGGAGCGTCTTATTTTGTATAGTTTTTGATTTACTTTGTAAATATTTATGTACTGTTTGCTAATATGAGATTAATTGTTTCAAAAATGAATTAAAAATATCTTCAATTTTGTCTAGTTGTACGAGTAAGAGACATAAAATATGATGAATAGAGTAATGGATACTGCCAAACAGAGTTGTGTTTCGTTTTGTTTTCCCAAAAAACATGCATGGCTCAAAAAATGAGAATAAGTTTTTATGTAATTAGAAAAGCTTTTGAACAAGCTAAAGTTCTAGTAGTTACAACTTCCTTCATTCCAAAAAAAGAGTCCAATTATTTGGGCACATTTTTAAAATGTGAAAAGTTTGTTTGGAATTTATGTAGTGGAGAGAGAGAATGCGAGTGAAATAAAAGTTTTCCAATATACAGACTGGCACGTCTTTTTGGAACACATAAAAAAGAAAAACATGCAGGTCTGTTTGGGACAGGGAGTTTATTAGTTATTTTGTTACCACTTGACTTTATTACCACTGTGGCCTCGAATTAGTTAGTAGCATCTTTGTTGTTTTAAAACATGTATGAGAGTTTGAGTTTATTTGTTAATGTTTGCTCTTGAGCAGATATGGAAGTGGATCAATTTTTTGAAGCGTCTCTCAAACTCGTAGAACCCCTTGACATTTTCTTCAATCACGTATTTGTAATGGTGGTATGTTTTTCTTTCCTGAACTCTTTGTTGTGTCTATAAAAACAATTTCTTTGGTGACTTCATGTTGTGCGTTGTGGAATTTTACCCATGACTACTCTCTAACATCATCATTAGCTCATCAATGACATTATCGTCTTTACTAATACAGACACACGTGTGCGTATTATAGCTCACTTATATAATTATCTAATCAAGCTTAATTAGACATATTCACTTCTTCACATGGTCTGATAATCTATTATCTGGCCAACTTGCACTTTGGCATCATCAATGCTCTCCCTGATGCTTGAAGCTCTCTTTGTAATCTGCCAAACAAGATGAACCAGGGCACCCCTTGTTTCTGGGTCCTTGAGGATTAGTAAGAAAGCTTTCAATCACCCACTTTGGACTCTTCCATAGTTGGACCTCTTTGCCTAGTTCAATCAATATTATCATTTAGGCGATAACAATGCTTTTGAACAACAAGATCGGCAAGTGATACTCGTAGTTCTTAGAAATTTTGATGATATAATTTTGATTTTCTTGAAGGGTGTTCTTTTTTTTATAGAGATTTTGAAGGGCGTTCTTAAAACCAAGAACTTGTATGCTCTTTTAAGAATTCAATATCTCCTCTTGAGTAGGGGTGCGTACAAGATAACTTGTTAATGAATTGGAGTTGTTACCTTGTTGAGTTTATGAAATTCTTTTTACGAAATGCATATTTTCAAAAAAAGTTCAAGATAATTGACGCAAATGACAATATACACAAATGACATTCCAAGTCATTATAATGTTAATTTTTCGATGGCGAATATTAAGCAAAGAGGTTCAGATGTGTCCAAATTACATGGCCATGGAAGACAATGAGATCTCCTCAACAAGAGGGTACTGTATAGTGCAGTAACAAAGTTAAGCCTAAGGTGTCGGTCGATTGAAAGTATGACAATGTGATAAAAAATTGAAAAAAAGGTGTAAAATAAAAGACACCGTGATATCAGTTTAGGAATAGGATTACAACCCTTTCCAAAGTTGTGGGTCATGAGAGAACGAAACATATTGAAGGTGTTGATTGTCACATCTTTCGAGAAAAACAATTAATGGCTTTATTTCTACACAGTTTGTAAATTCTGCTAATGAGTTGGCTGACACATCAAGCCTCTTAATCATACATCAGATCTTTTGAAAACCGAAGAAGGAAGATGGCGTTAAAAACTGTAGCTAATACTCTGTAATCCGTATCACTACATTAGGTTTATGGAGTGGATCTAGTGGACTTTAAGGGGATTAGGTTATATATTTCATATTTTATTTGATCAAAAAGTCAATATTAAATAGGGGTGAGGTTAGTGTTTAACCGGGTGTGGCTATCACTACCCTATAAGAATGTGCTTATTCAACACATGATACCTTGTTTGTTTACTGTGGTCCATTTTCTCAAAGCTTATGCTTTTTCAACTTTTAAAAATGATTCCATTGGTGTGAAATGTATTAATCTTGATCCTGCATATTGCAGGAAGACGAAAGAATCAGAAACAATAGGCTTGTCATGCTCAAGAAGATTGCATGCCTACCACTCGGAATTGTAGACCTGTCTGTCTTACCCGGATTTTGATTGCTTAATAAACCCTGAATGGGGCATGAACGGACCATGCTACAGTCACACCACGGATGACACCGCCACAAACAATGATTGTCTCTGCATTTCACAAGGTTCAAGTAGAGCATTTTCCTACGTGAATTGGGCACACCTTTTTCATGGAGAAAATTGTTCTCCTTAAAAGCTACGTGAAGCCATTGGTATTTACACAGTTTTGTGTGCATGGGTTACATCCCTTTGGTCTCTTTAACTTGTTCATGGTTACTATTTAAAATAGAGGGTAGTATATTGGCTCATTTAAATTCTGTGTGGTCTGGTTGAGTTTGGCAAACCAACAAGATAACGGTTAGTTCAGGTTCTGCTTTTGAACTGGTATCGAAATTAGAACTAGGATTGCTATGCTGAAGAACCGGATCCGTAATCAAAACTGGTTGGGGTGTAAATGGATGTTAATTAGTTTTGATGTGCCATTACCAAATCTGTATATATTTATTTTTATCGGATATTGATAGATACAGATACAAATCTTGATGGAGGCTAAAAATAAAAATTGTATCCGCATCTATCAGGTTTATATGTATCTGCTCCAAAATTTTAAAGTCAACTTAAACTATATACGAAGTAGTATATATAAATACTTTTCATATATTTATCCAATTATAATTTGTTATATAGTACTCCCTCTGTCTCATTTTAAATTGCATGTTTGCCTTTTTTCTCCGTTTCAAAATAAGTTGCATGTTACTTGTTATCGTAAACTTTTAAGAGTAAAATAACTAAACTACTCCTAAAATAAGTCACTCTTCTCCACCTTATCTTCTCATTCGTCGTCACCCCTCCTAAAAAGTAATGACAATTTCGGAAAATCAACCCTATTTTTTCTCTTCCTTAAATATGCTCAAAAGTCAAAACAGACGATTTAAAACGGGACGGAAGGAGTAGTATTTTTTTATTTCTGCAATATGTACTATTCTATAGAAGACCCCATACATTAAAATGTACAATATTACATGCTACACCTACACGTGTATTTGTGTGTCTACACATATATTTTAAATATAAAGATGTCTCATGCTTTAAGATATTAATAGAAAGATAAAATATAAAATAAAAAATTGGGAAAACTTATATATTAAAGATCAAATACACGAATAAATGGTTACTATATGCGGAGTGGATTATAAATGAATTGGATGTATGATTATCAAATTCGTTTTCATTTACCAATCGGATGTCTTTAATCGGATATGGATAAGAATCGCTTTAAATGGATGTGGAGAACTGGCATGTAAACAGATATGAATGTGGATGGTCATAGAAATTTTTGTTATTCGTTTCCACTCCTAAAAATCAGAATTAGGCCAGGTTCACCCCTAGCACCAATATGTTGAATACATCAGATTTTTTTTTGGCTTTTTTTATATAGAGAAAACCACAACTAAAATGAGTTGGGTGTATTCGCATCTTAATCCATCTTAACCTTGTCCCCTATCTGCTCCACCGATTCTTCCCTCTCTGCTCCTTCGATTCATCTCTCTTGTTTTCAACCTCGGAGCGTATATAGACAATCAACCAAAAACAAAAATTGAATCAATGATTATCTACTAAGGGGAAATACATATCAAAAATCATTTCAAACGATAAGATGCAGCTAAGGAGAATATCTGTGGTTGGAAAAAACAATGTAGCTTGAATGCAAAACTCAAGATGCAGCGAAGGAGAAGATCCATAGATTCATACCTTGAAAATGCAGATATGTAGTTTGAAAAAGAAAATCTCCATAGCCGCAAAGGAGATGAGCAGTGAAGAAGATGCAGATCGACATGGGTGATTGGCGATTGGCGAAGCGGAGAACATAACAACGAACGAGATGGGCCTATTTTCATTATCTACAATAGCATTTATATTTGATAGATGAGATATGGAAAATACATTCTGTTCCATATTATGTCTTACCCGTTAAAGGTCGAAATTGCATACCGTGAATGCTAATTCTTTTATTTTTTACACTTCACTCATTTTTACAAAAAAAAAAAGGATGAGCCCCAACGCTCCCTCAAGCCCGGCCAGAGGGTCACTCAGAAGAGGTAAGTTGAACTTTGATCACAGATTGGTGACAAAAAGTGAAACATGCATCTGGTACGTGTAGAGCGTTATGTTTAGCATAATTGTCTTTCAGCATAGTTATCTGAAATCGATCTTTGGTATGGTATTATTTGACTTTCCAACTGCGTAACGCCTACCGGCCCTTCACTCATTTTCACATTGCGCATTAGAGTTGCTCTAATTCACGATTGGGAAGCTAAAATAGAATATAGCTCCCAAATTTTTTAGCAACTCCGTGGGACCGTCCAAACTTGAATTGTTAGAGCAAATGCAATGGCGGGGAATTACTTTGCCACACTTGCCAATTAAGCATCTCTTCTCCATTTGCCTCACGTGGCTGTGGCGGTCCCCATGCCAAGCAAGCCATGTGCGAGGCAAGGTGTTCTAATGTATTTTGTTTTTTGTTTTTTTTTTTTGCATAAAAAAGAATTTTTACAGAAATCAAATTTGTTTTTTTGGAAAGAAATAGATATGTAAAATAATTTTTAAAACAATAATTAAAATACATTTAATATGTGGAAAAATGATAAAATAATGATTTATCAGACATATCATTCTATTCACTTAGCACTTTAAGCCTGTTTGCCCTAAGGGCGGCTCTCGGAGGTTCTGAATTAACGTTATTTCGGTTCCCAACAGTAAAGGGGCTTTTCTGGCCTGCAACTGAAAACATGGCGGCGGAGGAGGAGGTGCTGGCCGAACTGGAAGCGTTAGACGCCGTCTATGGAGGCGATTGTACCATCCTCGACAATTACCCGCCGGTTTTTCATCTTCGTATCAAGCCCCGAACCGCCGATGTCACTTCTCAACAGGTCTTTGTCTCCCTCCCTATCCGATATGTGAATGCGTTACATGTATGTTTCTGGATTTTCTCGAGAGAGTGAGAGAGACTGAAGTCCACAATTTATCTGTAATTTGATGATCAAATCTGTGAATCGATCAATAATTTGTACTCAATCTTCAACTTTATTTTTACTGGTGTCACTTTTCTTGCTTTACCCTATCATCTACACCTAGGCTCTTTCATTTCCAGATTTTAGTGTTTGTCTTTCATGCTACAATATTCCTAAATTCAAGTATTATAATGACTTCCTTTTGTCATAAAAAAATCCCATGTGAAAATGGTGCTGTTTTTATGAGTAGGTTGGAAAGTGCTACTCGCATTTATTTAGTAAATTGCTACTACGTATTTGATAGATATGTGTCGTAGATTTTTTGTGGGTAGTTGAGGGTGAGAGTGTCATCGAACTAGTCTAAAATTTCCAAAAAAAATTAGGGAGATGCTTTTGGGACAAACAAGATGGCAAATGGGGAGATGATTGTGGGATGTAGGAGCATTTTGTAAGGGATGTGTGATGCATCAATTGTTATCAATGCCTTAAAAAGCATTGAGGCCTAGACGAATTAATCAGGGTTAGACAGACCTATGCCGAACCACATGGGTCTAAGTGACAACAAGACATTGGCATCTAATGACAAACCAATTGCTATGAGGTTCGTGGGGATTTTCACGAAAATAATTTTTATTGTGAAGACCTTTTTCTTGTTTTACATGTCCCTTAACAAATTTTATTTGTTATGCTTGCTTTATCAGTTTATCTATGCATTTTTGTGTTTTCTTTTCATGGAAACAACATTTCTCATTTTATTTTCCTTCTCTTGCAGTTTGTGGAAGCAACCATAAGCATTCAGGCAGGTCCTAAGGTACTCTTTGAATTGTAAAAGTTAGCACCTACATACCTTTCAAAGACAAAGCCTTTATTTATGTTAAAACCGAGAAACTTGAGAAGTTATCACTTAAATGTATTACAGTGTTTCATATTATGGAGTAGTTAGTTTAAAATAAGATAGGGCTTCATCTTGCACGTAGTTTTTTTTTTTTGACAAAAATCCTTGTTTCATCACTTTTTTATCCAAAATTCTGAATGAATTGGTCTATTATATCCTCGGGTATATAACATGTCCTAAATGCTTTTACTGTGCTAGATACTCCCTCCGTTACAAATTGTTTGCCACATTTCGAACGGTGTGCAAAATTTCATCTCTTTTAAAATCATTTTATTTACAAATTGGTAGAGAAATAAAAGGTAAAAATTACACCGTTCAAAAGTACATCAAAAGTTTTACAAAATAAGATGCGACAAGATTTTTTTTATGAAATGGTCAACCATAACGAGTAAACACATACTACCTCCGTCCCCGAGTATTTGTCCAGTTTTGACTTTTTCAGTCAACCGTTTTCAACCTTTGACCTATAATTAAATAAAATATATATTTTATATAAATTAGATTAAAAATATTTTATATAATAAATCTAATAAAACTATTTTCGTTTCAATATCTAATATCATTTTTATTTAATTTGAGATCAAACTTTGCCAATTTTGACCAAAAAAGTCAAAAGTGGACAAATACTCAGGGAAGGAGGGAGTAAAAGTTATCGAGAGGCCGAAATAGTAAATGTTGTATTCTTTTTTGGGACGGAGGGAGTATTAGTTAGGTTACCGAAGATACACTTTCATCCTGTAGATATTTTTGCTAGTCTGTGACACAAATCATTGTCTAATACTCTCATCACATTTTCTATCAGAATGTCCTGGTCTATTATTATTCACAAGATAGTTAGGTACTGGTTCTTTAATGTTCTAAGGTCAAGCGTAATAGTGACTAGTTTTTAACTTAATCCGGATGCAAGAAAAGCATTATATTGATTAAATTGCAATTTCTGTGACAGTATCCTGATGAGCCACCATGCGTAAGTATGGTTGACTCCAAGGGTCTTGATGAGCAAAGGCAAAAGAATTTGACTAGTTGGACATCAGAAAAGGCCAATGAACTGTCCTCATGTCTAATGCTTGTTTCACTCTGTGAGGTAAACCATAGTGTCTGATATCTGATTAGTTGGTTTTCATTCTGAAATTGTGAAGTAGATGTGCTGATTAGGTAGCTGCTGGTATTATTGTGTTTTTTATGCACAGCTCCGAAAGCCTTAGGTGACAAATTTTTCGCAATTTGTGTTCTCGTGTTGAACAACCTGGCTCTGATACCAATTGTTGGGAGTTAAACACACAACACACAAATAATCTGCCAGAATCAAGTGAGAGAACGGAACACAAACGACACACAAGAATTTAACGTGGTTCGGTTTCCCTAATCTACGACTGCAACAGGAGGAATTTTATTTCACTTGTGCTCCACAGAATTACAAATTCAAGCGTTCTATATATAGGAAAAACCTAGATCCAGGGTTACTGATGATGGGACGGGCTGGGCGAACTAACAAGCCTCCACAAAGCCCAACATAGGGCATTCTTACCTCTCTTCATATGAGAGTCCCATCGCAGCCTCGTGTCTGTCATCGTGTTCACCATGGATGCCACTCTGACCTGTAAATGGAAACATGACAACCTGCATACTGCATAGAGTTTCTGGTTGAGGCTTTTATGCTTTTTTAGTTTTTTAGGGGTTTTGTTTGCAATTAGTCATTAAAACACATTTCCTAGAATGAAATGCAAATCTTTTAGGCTAATGATATTGCCACTCTAGTTTTGCTAATGACACTCCAAAATCTACTATTCGTATGAGTTTGTAAATAGTGATTTTGGAGTGTCATTAACAAAAAAGGGAGTGACAGTATCATTATCCTATTTTTATTCGCTTTATTTGCATAAATGCCTCTATTACTTGGGGGATGAGGAACATGCATGAAATGCTTAACCCCCACCCCCTGGCCCCAAACACACCCATACTCCAATGTTTGTGTGCAATGTGCATGATACTTGAACACTAACAATTTTAATTTTAACTTTGCCTTGGAAATAAGCTGGATGCTCTTGATTTTTAACTATTGCTAGGATTAGGACCTTTTCTCATTAATAATTTTCTGGAGTATTTCAATTTTAGATTTGCCATGCCGGCTATGAGATGCTCATGGCTTTGAATGTCTTCCTAGGAAGCAGTGGAAAGGCTTTCTAGCATGAATCACCCTGATGGGGATTGTCCATTGTGTTTGTATCCATTGGTTGATGAAGCCACAGGAAAAAGTTCTTTCCCCTTTATGAAGTTGATGTCATGTTTTCACTGCTTTCATTGGTAAGATTTATTCGTACTTCTTTTTAATATGTAAAGATCTATCCTTTTTTTTGGGAAATGTAAATATGTGTATTAATCACCTAAAATGATGTATATATACAAAGTAGGAGGGGGGTGCCCTAACTCACAAATCAAGGCATCAGCGATGGTCAACATTCAAAAATCGAAGTGATGGTCACTATCAGGATACAGTCTAGTCCCTCCTTCCCAAATTTATCGTCTCTTTTCCAACAGCATACAAAATATCCTCTCTTTTAAAGTAATTTTATTTAGAAATTGTTAGGGAAATAAAAAGTACAAACTACATACGGTATTTAAAAACTACACCAAATGTTCTACAAAAGAAATGGTGACAAGAATATTTTATTTTATCAAATGGACCATGGAAAAGCATATGCAAACAAAAGTTATTGGAAGCCCGAAGTAGTAACTAGGCCAATTTTTTGGGGACGGAGGGAGTATAAAATTATAGATCATAACCTTATTTTCTTTGAAGGGTCATAACCTTATTTTTAACATCATCATTTATGATAAAAGTCCTAAACAAGAAAGACAGAGTGTTTAATTCTTCTTTTCATGGCAGTGATTGCATTATTAGATGGTGGAATTGGCTACAACTTCAAAAAGAAAGAGATGTTACTAACATCTTGGGCTCTTCCTTTGCATCCTCTAGCAAGAAAGACGTTCAACAAGGTACACCTAAATTGGATAATGATTTTGTGTGTGTGTGTGGCTTTTTGTTTTTCTGTGATTACGCTTCCACCCACACATTGGAGTTTTTCTGAACCAATGTTTAAGAAGTCAACATTGGTTCTTTTGGGTGTGTTCTTTGATTGGATTTATGTGATATAAATACGGGGTAACGGATGATGTAAAATGTAAAGTAATAATCAACAGTCCAATGACACTTTAATATTTTCACCCAACGGAGGTTGCTACGAAAGATAACAACTGTTGCCTCTGGTTCACATTTGTGGGAACCCTTAACCGGAACTGCGTATTGTGGTCCCATTTTTGAAAACCTTAGCCAAGAACTCTGCCAGCTGGTTCTGTTTCATTCTAACCCATTCCGCTCTGGTTCCATTGCCTTCCCGTAACCACTACTTCCAGTTCTAATTCTTACCTGGACCTTATGGAGGCATTTTTGATTTCTCAGTGGAGAATGCTAAATGCAGAATGCTCTTGTGCATATGTTGGATTCATGATTATTATGGTACATCAAGACCTGTTCTCTCTCCTCCCTCTCCCTTCCTCCCTATTTAGATATTCTCTTGCATGCTAGCTCAGTACTACTTCATGCTGCACCACCAAACATGGCTCCAACATAGGATCTTGGAGTTAGAGCATTGTAGTTAACCAATTGGGTTTCTCTCATGTATTGATCTTCTTGATGATCTATATGCTTCAATTTTTTATGTTGCATAAAAAGATTCATTGGGATGCATTTTGCAACAGAGGATAGTAAGGGAAATTGCCCGGTTTGTCGCAAAGTTTTCACTGCCAAGGATATAGAGCACGTGCGTGACATGGTGGAAATGCAATCACATTCGGTATATATACTTAAACAAATACTAGTATATATTCACTATGTAACTCTGCAACTTCATATGTTTTCTGACTTAAGAAATGATTTTGTTGGTTTGGAAGCAAAATCTCACACTAGTTGTGTTTTATTGGTGTAAATCGAAACCATAACTGTAGGAGCAAAGCTTTGTGGAAAATTAAAAACTTTATCACACACTTATGTAGATAATTGTATTTTGAGAAAGAGTAAATTCTATAATTTGTGTTGGTCCTTAATAACAAGGGCTTTTTTTCATATTTAGTCCTCTATTATCAAATATCACGTTCGTGGTCCTTCTTTTATGGGTACTTTTCCACGGATAGTCTTTTTTGACTTTTTGTCATGTTGGTGTTACATTAAGGGCTCTATTTAACACCAACATGACAGAATGGCAAAAAAGGACAATCTGTGGATAGGTACCCCATAAGAGGACCACAGACATAATTTTTGAAAATAGAGGACTAAACATGGAAATCCCCTTTTATAAAGGACCAAATATAGAATAAACTCTTTTTTGAGAAACGAGCGATGTTTGCACATAAATTTTGGTATTTTTTTTATATTACCCATGAATAAGACTTAAAACTTTCTTTGCTTCTTTCTTCCTTAGAAGTTTTGGGCAGTAAATGTAGCAATGCATCAAGGGTCTAACGGAAACAGTCTTTTTTCGAACGGAAGTTGCTTACAATCTTGACCCCAAGACTTCAATGAAGTTGGGAGTAAACGAGTTTTGTTGTCATATTTTTCTCTTCTTTTTTATTCACTACTCATAACATTTCACAGGGACCGGGTAAATTTTCCGTCTTTTTTGTCTAGGTATTCACGCTGATGCGTACTTTTATCTGTGAAGAAAGTTGCATGTGTAGCTCACTTGGGATTTCCATCTCTTTTCAGATATCCGAGCAAGTAGAATCAAACAACGATGGGGATGATGATGTGATTGTTCTACATTCGGATTCTGAGAACATCAGGAGGGAGAAATTTGATGCTATCCTGAAAGCTCAGGAACAGAAGGGCGGGCTAATTGAAGAAGGCAAAACACATGAAGTAGTTCTTCGTCCCGGCCTGTATCTTCCCCAGGGATCATCAGCAGCAGTGGACGCGAAAAAAGAACCAGACAACCAACAAACTGGAAGTTCTCATCAATCGACTTCATCAAGTCTCCCTGCAACCATCTCCACAAACAGGTACTCCACCAGCAGGAGAAAGCCCAAGGGGCAAAATCCAAGAACCCAAGTTAGACAGTGGGTCAAGAAAGAAAACACTTGATGCTATGCTAGGTACATACACATTTCAAACAACTCTCATCAGCTTCCTTTCTTTCATTCTTTCTAATATGCATATCCCACACACATTTTGATATGCTGAATGAAAGTATATATGTTGCTTACTTCTTTGCCATATAAACCCACTAGCCTTTCATCTTTTGCATTCCTTACTAATTTATACTCCCTTTTTGTCCCATTTGATTCTTTACTGTTAATATTCACATGGTAGATATCCTCATTCTTTACATGTTTTTCATTTAATAAAATACCACGTAATAGTCATGTCACATCTTGTTTTGTAGTAGATTCTCATATGTGGTTTTTAAATATATAGATTTTACTTTTAAATTGTGTACCAATATTAATTAAAATGATTTGAAAAAGTTTAGTCAAACATCGAAGACTTATTTCAAGAATAAAATGGGCCGGAGAGATTATTTGCTGTTTTGTCAAGCATCAAATGGGCCGGAGATATTATTTGTTCCCAATGTCATGGGATGACCAGGGGGTGCTCCGGTGCCCCATTCATAAAATTGATGGTTCCTACTCTCCCTAACCCTCTCGGTAAAATTGTTATTATTAAGTATTGTTTTTACAACGTTTTACACATTGATAATGACATTCTAATAATATACTCTGTACGTAGTAGTAACTAGTAATACCAAACAAATATATATTTTATATATTAGTTCTTTCATTTATTCATTATAGTAATTATATCAAACATTTAACATATTAACCCATTACTTTATTTTTAAAAAAATTATTTTTTAATTATTTAGAAGTTTTTGTCGTGCGGATTGGGCCGGTCTGAAGCCAGCAGATATCCATGCGGGAAGGGGTTGGACTTCAATTGTTATGCCTGACATACGAGCCGGGCTGGACTTGGACCTAGAAAAATCTCGTAATGTAACTTCTCAGGCTGGCCTCAAACCCGGCCCTCCTCGCACTTTGATCAGGTTTAATCGTGGCACACTCCTCTCCCTATATCTCTTATCCACTAATCCGTATGTTTGAACACTTCTTCAGAATCTGTAGTATCCATATAGATTTTGACATGAAATGTTTTATTTCACTTACTCTCTATCTTTGAGTATTTGTCAACTTTTGACTTTTTAGTCAAAATTGATAATTTTGACTTCAAATTAAATAAAAATAATAGTATGAAAAATTGATACAAAAACAGTTTTATTACATTTGTTGTATCAAATATTTTTGAAATATTATTGTATCTAATTAATATAGAATATATATTTTATTTAATTATAGGTTAAATGTTAAAAATAGTTGACCGAAAAAAGTCAAAACTGAAAAAATACTCAGGGACGGAGGTAGTATTTTTTAATGAGCATGAACTAATTTATTTTTAATTCCATTTTGATTAACGATCACCCGGTAAATTAACACAGGTTAAAACACTAGTACCAATAGTCCTGATATTATTTTAAGTTCTCAACACGTTCTTTCTAACAACATATTTTTCAAATTAGTCTACAATTAACAATAATTACAAGCGTGGTACTTTATAATTGAGATGCATTCTCTAAATAGTTTTTAATAAAAAATGTTTATTAAATGGCAATTAAAAGAATGGTATTTTTGTATTTTCTATCATTTAAAATAAGAATTAGTTCTCAAAATGGTTCTTTCAAATTAAGTGGGTAGCTTCTAGAAGAACATACTCAAATTAGTTCTCAAAATGGTTCTTTCAAATTAAGTGGGTAGTTCTCAAAATGGTTCTTTCAAATTAAGTGGGTAGGCTCATGGACTTCATTTCAAGAAACATTAACTAAAAAATTATCAGTTTGGAAAAATATTTAATTTCAAAGGAGCATTTTGAGACAACAACAACAACAACAACCCAGTTAAATCCCACAAGAGTAGGGTCTGGGGAGGGTGTGTGTACGCAGACCTTGCCCCTACTCGAAAGTAGAGAGGCTGTTTCCAAAGAGACCCCCGGCTCAACGTCGAAAGTTGCATTGCTTAACTAACTGCTACTTCATTAATTAAAGAAGCGCAGATAGTTTAGAGATCCATTTTGATTTATTCCATCACACCCCAAAGCCAAAAAAATGGTGAAATTTTGGCTCCATCGGAGATGATGGAAAAACAAAGGAGNACTAAAAAATTATCAGTTTGGAAAAATATTTAATTTCAAAGGAGCATTTTGAGACAACAACAACAACAACAACCCAGTTAAATCCCACAAGAGTAGGGTCTGGGGAGGGTGTGTGTACGCAGACCTTGCCCCTACTCGAAAGTAGAGAGGCTGTTTCCAAAGAGACCCCCGGCTCAACGTCGAAAGTTGCATTGCTTAACTAACTGCTACTTCATTAATTAAAGAAGCGCAGATAGTTTAGAGATCCATTTTGATTTATTCCATCACACCCCAAAGCCAAAAAAATGGTGAAATTTTGGCTCCATCGGAGATGATGGAAAAACAAAGGAGCATTTTGAGAACATATCTTAAATCTATATGATAAAAAATACCAAAATATCTTCTGTTTGACTGACATTTAATTGGCATTTTTGATAGAGGACCTTTTATGGAATCAATTTAAATTATTAAGGATCACACATGTAATTATTGTTTATTAAAGGCTAATTAAAAAAATCACATTATAAAGAACCGTTTTAAAAATTCATTCTATTATTTATGTATGTGAATACTTGTAAATCGTCCACAGACGTATTGTGTTCAGAAATTTTTCTTTGGCACATCAATAAATTTTCATCACTAAAAAGCAAAACATAAGGGTCCGTTTGGTACACGGAATTGATGGGATTGGAATTGAATTAAACTATGGTAACATGACTATAATATTTTATCGAGATACTAATGAAAATAGGGGAAAATGTAATTAAATTTGACCATGTGAACTGTAAACGTGCAATTTAATTTGGAACGGAGGAACTGGAGTAAAATATCTCTTTCTTACTAATAGTACTCCGTAACAAATTAAGCGGAGTAATTTCTTATATAACAATAAAGTTGCATTATTATAAATTACTCCCTATGATTCAACAAAAATAAATAATAAAAATAAATGAAACGAAAACTTTGGGGGACTCTTCGGCCATGAGCATGGTACCATGGGGGACACCAAGTCCAAAAGTGTGTTTTTTTATATAAAAATAATGAAGAATAAACAAAAATAAAGTCTAAAGTTTTGATTAAATTATTCTTTAAATATTTCTTTTAAATAACGTTATTTGGTTGATCTATACAAATCAACAAAGAAACGCATTTACAGTACTACGTACGCGTTCCGTAGTCTAAATGGACTCGACTGAAAATGACTTTCTTAATTTGTCCCTTTCCCTTTTAATTTTTAAACATGTGGGGAAAGGTTAAGCCAAAAAAACATGTGAGGAAAATTAGGCTAAAAAAACATGTAGGAAAAAAGACACAAACTTTACCAACATATAATTAACACGTAGGAGAGAGAAGGATAGGGGGTATGCCAACATGGATGCCACATCATTAGTTCTTCGCCGGAGAGTATCATTTCTGGTGAGGGGTACCATTTTGTTATAGATTTAAAAGATGGGGTATGTTTTTGTTACAAACTTAAGATGGGGTACCTTTTTGTTACAATCGTAAAAGTTAGGGTACCTCTTGTGAAAAAAAGCCTATTATTTATATACTTTTTAAGGTGAATAAAATAATATTAAATAATTAAGAATAAAAATTAAATACACAAATAATAAATTTATATAGTTTGTATCCAAGTTGTGTGTGACTCCAGCGTTATTGTTAGAGCCATCATTGATGGTTAGAAAATAAAATACTTTGGCAAGCTATCATTTATTTGGCAAGTCATTGATGATCTATCATTTGGCAAGCTATCATTGACTTGGCACCCTAGGGAGAATCATTTATTTGCTTATTTTCACTCCTCATTTTCAAAAATAGTATAGTAATGTCACATCTGATTTTATATAAATTTTTACGTGGTTTTACACTATATAAATTTTATTTTAAAATTCTACGCCTACAATCTAATATATTCAATTAAAAATACATTCGGTCAAACTTTGTAATGGCAGAAATAGAGAAGAGGAAGTTAAGGGTTTAGAATATTACTTCCTTCGTCTCATAAAGATGCTCTCATTATGGCTTTTAGAAAATTTAAGGAATAGATTTTTAATATTGATTTTCTAAAAATACCTTTGATGTAATGTGTAAAAGTAAGATGCGATCGGTAGATTATTAGTAAAAATGTATGATTTGTTGCGTATGTTACTAATTAGTATGATTATTAGTAAAAATGTATGATTTAGTTAAAAGATGAAAGATTTTATGGGACAAGAAAAAAAGGATGAAGGGATCAGAGTACTATTATTGATATCCCATAATTAGCTAACATCCGAATATAAATAAGAGAAACTTACCTAAATAGATTACTAGATTATCTAAACGAACTAATCGGTTCATGCAAGAAAAACATTGACGTAAAGACCGAAAAGAAATTTTTGAATGAGCTTATAAAGCCGCTCTACTAATAAAATCTATCTACTCCGTATATATTACAACAACAAATAACTAGTACGGAGTAGTAAAGATTAATATAAAAAAAATATTAATTCTCATAATCCTTTTGCCACACCGGCGGTCGTATGATTAGCTACGGCGAACCCTGCATGGTCGTTCAATTCCTTCCTGTCGTCATGGGCGGATCCACATTGTGATTAATGGGGGCACTTGCCCCCAATGACTTTTAATTTTTTATAAATAAATACCCTAATTTTTTTAAAAATATCATTTATGCCCCCACTAAAAAAATGAAATGCCCCCATTGATTTTTCCAAATCCTCACTTACAACATAAAAAAGAAGGATAAAAATATTTTAAATCTCTAATTGAAAATTAGTTTTGGTAGTCCAGTCATGTATAATTTCTAAATTTAAAATAATTATTTAATAGGTTATAAATTATGCGTCGTAATTCATAATTTTGAAATGCAATTTAACAGTATTTATGGCATTTTACATTAACTTTCACAAAAAAATTTGAGAGTATTGCTCCTAAACCCCGCCTTATTCTTGCCCCCGGTCATTTCATTTTCTGGATCCGCCACTGCCTGTCGTCATCCGATCCGATCCTCACATTCTCGGACGATAAATTTGAGTGACATCATATCTGATTTGTTGAATTGTTGAGCTCCGGACGTTTCAATTCATCAATTATTGTTGTTATTATTATTATTATTATTATTATTATTATTATTATTATTATTATTATTATTATTATTAATTTTGATAATTATTCCTTGAATTATGGATATATAAATGCTTTAATTTCCCTAATCCCTACTCATAAGTCCTTACACCGCTTTCAAAAAGAAAATATAAAAAAGTCCTCACACATTTTTTTCTATTTTTGCACACACACAGCCGCTTTTTCTTTTGCCATTTTCCAAATTTGGATGGCTAACAATTACGGAGTACAAATTCTGCTGATTTTCCTCAAATCACACACATTCACACTATGGGTCGACATGCCAAATTTGAGATCAAAAGTTTTATGTGAAATTTGCTCTAAATAATACTAAAACATATGTCATTTCTCAATATGTACTTACGGAGAGAGAATTGTTTTTTTTTAATTCTAAATGATACTCGTACTAATTAATGACACTTTAGTTTTAACTTTTAATAGACGGAATATATGTATTTTTTTTTTTGAAAGGATAGACGGAATATATGTATTTTGATTTCAAAGGAGATAAAGAAAAATGAACCACATAAAGTTTGCCCAGTTTTAAATTAATGGTATGTTTGGGAACATGGATTTGGATTTCAAATCCGGATTTGACTTAAATTCCATGTTTGGGAAACTTAAGCATTTTGAATTTGGATTTGAATCAAATTCTTTACATTCAAAACCAAGCTTAATTTGAAATCCATGCACCTCCCCTTGTCATTTGAAATTCAGGATTTCAAATTTTGGATTTGAAATGCATGAATTGAAATGAAATGCTAGTTGCCAAACACTACAGGAAAAAAAAACATTGCAGCTGTACATNCCACATAAAGTTTGCCCAGTTTTAAATTAATGGTATGTTTGGGAACATGGATTTGGATTTCAAATCCGGATTTGACTTAAATTCCATGTTTGGGAAACTTAAGCATTTTGAATTTGGATTTGAATCAAATTCTTTACATTCAAAACCAAGCTTAATTTGAAATCCATGCACCTCCCCTTGTCATTTGAAATTCAGGATTTCAAATTTTGGATTTGAAATGCATGAATTGAAATGAAATGCTAGTTGCCAAACACTACAGGAAAAAAAAACATTGCAGCTGTACATTGTGATCAACTTTAATTCGGCATACAATTAGAGTTAAAGAGGTACGGAGTATATATAAGTAGATACGCCTTCTCATATAAGTAGACATAAGTAGTGACCAAATCTCATTCATTTCCCTTGAGATAATTAATACTCCATACACAAACCAAAACTAAACTCAATCCAAACCCATTTTGTTGTACACAATATATATAATTACTACACAATTATATAATGCTACATTTTTCATCAAACCACATCACAATGAGAAAGATGGCACAATGTTGTGCCACAACTTCCCACCGGCCCCAATCATCCTTGCACTTCACCGCTTCGAGCCCTAGCAATGCGAAAAGCTTTGCTAAGTTCGGGAATAACACGACGACAACGGCAATGCAAGGCATCGCTGTCGAGGAGAGTAGGAAAAGGTGGATGGAATGCCAGGGCGTCAAGAACTGGGAAGGCTTGATCGACCCCTTAGACGACACTCTTCGCGCGCAAATATTGAGCTACGCCCGCTTCGTCGAGGCAGCATACCGTTGCTTCGACTTTGACATGTCGTCCCCAACGTATGCCACGTGTCGCAATGATATAGATTCGATGTTGGCCCAATGCGGGATTGGGAACCACCGGTATGAGTTAAAATGCTTCCTTGAATAATTGTCTCCGTCCCACAAAAGTTTTCTAAACAGCTTACTTTTTCACTGTTTTACGCTATTTTAAATCTTCGTGAAGTCAACATGAGTAAATTAATTGGTGTGGAGAATTTTGATAATACCACCTAAATGTTGTTGACTTCGGGGCCAAAATTTAAATCCCAAAGTAAACAAATTTTTGGAGGTCCAATTGGCGGAGGTGCAATGGCGCGTTAGGGTCGGGACTCGGGACAGACTTGGGTGGTTTATCAAGGGAAATTAATGGTAAGAACCATCAATTTTTTGATCGAATGACCATATGTGATCCAATTGAATTGACGTCATCATTACTTGATACGGAGTATTAAAATTCAATGTTAAAAGATCTTTGACGAATTTTGATATATACACTTTTTCACTTTCTTTTTTTAAAAGTAAATTCAATAAATAATCCCTTGTAACGGGTCGTTTTTCATAGCTAGTCCCTAATTCTAAAATAAAAATTGAAGACCACGAATGTAATATCTTAAAATTGAAGACTAAATATGAAATATCATTTGTTATAAGAGATCATTTATGAATTTAACTCTTTCTTTTATTTTTCACTAACTATTAATGATGATAACTAAGTTAGGTTTAACACAACTTTCAATTTTTGATAACATGCATCTTTCATTTGTATCCATGTTGGAGCTGAGCAGGTATAGAGTGACAAAGAACTTGTACGCCACGTGTACAACTAGCGTTCCACGTTGGATGGAGAGGATTCTGAATTTAGCGTCATCCCCAGAGTCTAGCTGGATTGGCTACGTGGCAGTATGCGATGACGCGGAGGAAATATCTCGATTAGGTCATCGTCGCGTGGTCATTGCTTTTCGGGGAACTGCCACCGCAAGGGAGTGGCTCGAGAACCTGCGTGTCATCTTGACCCCCTTATCCGTTGACCTTGCCACCCCACTACCCGATTGTTCTGGCGACCACCGCCAGCCAATGGTACAACGGGGGCTTTTAAGCCTGTACACAAGCGGCGGCGATGGTCGTCAGAGCTTACAAGACACAATTAGGGAAGAGATACGGGAAATCGTCAAACGGTATGGTGGCAAAGGGGAGCCGGCTCTGAGCATCACAATCACTGGGCACAGCCTTGGCGGTGCCCTAGCAACCCTAGTGGCATACGACATCGTGACACAGTTTGGTGGTCACGAGGCAGCGGTGCCGCTAGTGACGGCGGTGTCTTTTGGAGGACCGAGAGTCGGGAACGGTGGCTTCAAACGAGAACTAGAAGCCAGTGGCGCGAAGGTACTGAGAATCGTCAATCATGATGACCCCATCACTAAAGTCCCGGGGTTTGTGTTTGATGACGTGGCAGGGTTGGGAGTGCCAGCGTGGCTACAGAAATACGCCAAGTATGCGGCATATGCTGAGGTGGGAAAAGAACTTAGGCTTAGCAGCAAGGATCGTCGCCTGCCACATGCGAAAGTCATGGCCAGATCAGCAATAAATGTTGCCACGTGTCACGACCTCAACACCTACCTCTACTTGATTGAAACTTTTGTGAGTTTCATATTCATCCTCAACACACAATATAATAAAATAAAGTTTAATTTTATTTAAAGTTTTGATTAATTTATTCTTTTAAATACTCATTTTTTTTAAACAATATTATTATTTATTTAATTGTTTGATTACTTCGTAATCTAAATGGGCATTAATTTTCTTTTAGACAAGTTACCAGACAAACATTGACAAAGGATGTGAGAATAACAAAGGCGCAATTCCAATACTGTCCAACAAGGAGCTTGTGGATGTGTTACATGCATTTTTGTATCTATTTTTATACATGTATTTTAGTGTTTTCAATGAATTGGTTTCGAATAATATTTCTATATGATAGCTTGGTAAAAAAACTATAAATGAAAAATCATTTGCTATAACATTCCAAATATGTTTATTAATTCGTGTGCTTTGTTAAATGCACAATTGTGTTATGGATGGTGAAGTAGGATATTTAAATAATTTTAGTAGTCTTTAAGTGGGATTTTCCATAACTTATAGTTAAAAAATATTTATATAACACATATTATTTAATTGTTAGAAAATTAAAATAAAGAGTAAATTCTAGAATTAGTCTTTTATAATATGAGATGTCCATATTTTGCCCTCTACTATCGAAATTTTACTCTCGTAGTAATTTTTTTCACTAATGCTTTTCACTAATAGTCATTTTTTCATAATAATAATAATATAATAATTATTATTATATAGTGAAAAGAATTAGTGAAATATAATAATAATAATAATAATATAACAACAACAACAATAATATTATTATTATTATTAATAATATTAATAATAATAAAATTATATTATTAATTAAGATTTAGGTGTGTGTAGCTTTAATAAAATTAAAGTAATGTGATTTAATCAAATATAAGTAATTATTATTTAATCTTTGGAAAATATAAAGTTATTTTTATGTTTTTTCTTGATTTGATGTTATTTCATTTGATTTAATCTGATAAGATCTGATCTGGTCTGATTGGATCTGATCCGATTTGATTGGATCTAATCTAATCTGATTGGATCTGATCTGATAGGATCTGATCATCTGATTGGATCTGAATAGGTCTGATCTGATCTGATTTAGTTTTAATAAGAATATGTAATAAGTAGAAAAATTAAGTTCTACGAAACAGACCCTTAGTATATAAACACCATGAAAAAATTGGATTTTTTGCCAAAAAGAAAAGACCCTCTTGTCGGCCCTTGAAAAGTGTGAGATGAAATGTGAATCTTATAATTATGGAAGCACTACTCTAAAAGATATACCTTAAGTTGTTGGTATTTACTTTGATCACATTTTTTTTGGCATTGAATTTGAGTAGAACTGACAAAATTTAACCTAGCTTATTTTTTACTTAAGACCCGACATAAAAATATTATCTTTTGAACAAAGGTTATATTTTGCCAATGGAATAGGAAGATGACCAAACCTAAAATGACCCACTAAAAATTAATCAAATTGAATTAAACTCGAATTTGACCTAACCAACCCACCAAGGTAAGGTTTTTTTCAAAATATTATACTTTACTATATAATGTGATAATTAAAAGTAATTTTTTTTTCTTTTCTTCAAGCCATTGCTACAGCGGAAAAAGTAATTTTATAATATTATTTCTCTTCTTATTAATCTTTTTTAATGTTGAAACTTCCTATTTCAAATAATTTTTTTCATGATACTATACTCTGTATTTTTATCTTACCTTTTTTAAAAATTGTACTTATAATTTTTTTATATTATTTAGTATCTTCGTCCCAGTGTATTCATTCATTTGACTTTTTAAACTCAAATTAGATGAACTTTTAACATCAATTAAATAAAAATAGTAATGCATATTAGTATAAAAAAGATTTTATTAGATTTAACTTGTTGAGAACTTTTAAAATTTATTGCATCGAATTAATAAATATTAGTAATACAAATTGAGAGTAATTGATGATTAAAAATCATGAGTTTGACTCGAAAAAGTCAGACTGAACGAATATACTGGAATAGATGGAATATAATAGTATTGCAACAATCAAAAAATTTCTTAAAATTCAAAATAAAATATTATAATAGCTTTTTTTAAAAGTAACTTGCCATTAATTCAATGCATCATAGTGCAAATCGTTACAAATATTCTCTAGAGGGTTAGAAACTCACTCCGGATAATCAAACAAAGATCGAATCACACGTCCCGGCCATGAAATGAGCCATCTAACTCGCTGACCTTCGAATAACTACTAGCCACGAGGGCTGAATAAACTCTACTGTTAAACACAAACAATTAGAAAAATCATCCTAAATTTGATTAAAACATAGAGAAAGTACCATAATAGTAATTCTATGTTTTTATTCTCTAAATAGGAGTTCACACTGTGGTAATGTACATGTGCATTTTACGTAATGTACATGGTCATGATTGGTAAGTACTCCCTCCGTCCCAAATTATTTGTCACATTTGCTTTTTCAACCGTCGCGGGAACTTTTGTTTATTTCTACGTTTTCATTGGTTATTTGATAAAATAAAATATTCTTGACACCTCTTATTTCGAAGAACTTTTCATGTACTTTTTTGATATGTAATTTTTATTTTTTATTTCTTTACCAATATGTAAATAAAATGAATTGAAAAAACTTGATATTTTGCCTCGGTAATAGAAATGTGACAAATAATTTGGGACGGAGGGAGTAAATGCATTTTAACTTCTATTTCGAGAATATAATAAAAAACATGGAACTCCTATTTTGATATATTTTCAATGTTTTATTCCTACTTTGGTCATTTTTCCAACAATTAAAAATAAGACCGATGAAGTGCGAACTATTCTCCATGTTGTTATGCAACGTTCAAAAAAACATCGTACTGTCACTATCCACCTCAATCGGTTGATGTACATAGTTTCCTTTAAACCAACTCAATGCCTCCCGAACTCCAATTATATCCGCCGGCTACAAATTTTATTGGACAAAAAGAAAAAGTAAAGAGAAGGACTTCATGAATCATGAACAAAAAAGAATTGTACAAGGACTAAATTGCTTCAATTAGAAGTACATATACTATTTGAATATTTTTACATAGTACATGGACTCCTACAATACATTGCCCGTCATAATATGATTCCAAATTCAAATGTGAAATGCAAAACTAATACAGAGTATATGTTTCAATTGAAGGCACATTATAGAGACTAAAGCCTTTCCTCTTTCACTTTTTATCTGTCCTAAAAAACATTTGCACTCTATATTAAAAAAATAATTTTACCCCTAATAATTCTTATATTACATATCGCATCATATCTATTCACTACAGGGTATATATTAAAGCATATTCTTTAGGGTTGGAAAAAAAGAGCTAGATGTTGGAAAAAACTGAAAGAAACTTGAAAAAACTGAAAAAAACTAGAAAAACTAGAAAAAACTGGAAAAAATTGAAAAAAAAACTTCAAAACCTTATTTATTTATATTTTACATAGTATTATTATACTAATTTTTATATTTATATTATTTTTATCATTATTAATTATTATTATTATTATTATTATTATTATATGTATCATAGTGTTATGGATAGTAGAGTAGGATATTTAATAGTATTATTATTATTAATTATTATTATTATTATTATTATTATTATTATTATATTCATAATAGGTAAAAAAGTAAATAACATTTAACCACGTGAATAATATAAATGTCATTTAATTAGGGACAGAGAGAGCTGAGTTGTATAATTATCATTTTTTAATTTAAAATATTGATATTTTCCAGGTCAATTTAGATTAATAAAATATCCATAATTTTTAGGACATAGTTTAGTGTCATGTAAATTAAAAAAACAATTTTCTCAATAAAATTGCAATATGTATTATTTCTATTTAAAATTGATCGAAAAATAATAATAATGAGTGTACAACACAAAAATAGTGACATGAGAAAATAAAAATAGAAAAATGAAATAATTTATAAACTATAGTTATAATAATAATACGTGAAAAAGGTATTATTTTTAGAGTAATTTGGAAGTGAAAAGGATTGAAGAATAAAATGGGAATGGTTAGAAAAACAAGAAAAAAGTGGAAAAAATTAGAAGAAACAGGAAGATACTGGAAGAAAATGAAAAAAAGCTGGAAAAAAACTAGGAGAAATTGAAAGCAACAGAAAAACGGGAAGAAACTGAAAAAAACTTGAACAAAATGGAAGTTAAGAATTTAAGGTCTATAGAACATGCTCCTTGTTAGACGATTATTTATGGTCAATATTAATTGTAGTAGACTTTTTAATTTAGTCAGCTTTTGTTATTGTTTTCCTAGTTCTAGTTGGGTTTGTATACCCATCTATAAACACCCTCCCTTGTATTCTCTTGTAATGAAGATCAATACAAGTATTCTGTTTGTTTTCTCAAACTTAATACTTTACACATCACATTCACAAATATTTTTGAAAATCAACACCAAAATAGAGTACTTTTCCTAAAATCACTTAATAAGTTAATAGTCAATATATATACATGTAGGGTATCTAGGGACGGAGGGAGGATTATATTTTTTGGAAAAAGGGCAAGCTTGCTAACTCTAACGGGTAAATCTTAATTCTCATATCCGCCCATAAAAAAATTAGGCTCGATCTGGGCTGCTCATATAGATAAGATAAATATTGTTGTTCATATCCGTTTTTTTAGAGCGGGCAGGATGATCCTTGTTTGCAGAGTTCAACTCTTGGCAAAAAAACAAAATTTAAAATAAATCTTAACGATGCAAAGAAAGAAGGACCTTGGATTTACGTTCTTTGATAATCTTGATGAAATGATTTCAAAAAAATAAAATAAAATATATTTTATTATTTGTTTACTATTTTAATATATTATTATTATTATTATCTTGAAACTATTATATATGTTACTCCGTATTTAATAAGCTTAATATAAAAATATGTATATTTACATTATATATATATATATATATATATATATATAAGTTATGTATGTAGTATGTATAGTCATCAATTTTATATATATATATATATATATATATATATATATATATATAAAAGATGCATCTTAAAGTTAAAAATATTCATCTAACACGTATTATATCTCTCTTAGAAATTGAAGTAAATAAATTATATTTATTAAATATCAAAACTTTAAAATGTACTCCCTCCGTCCTATATCTTTTTTCCCGTTGCTCAAAACGAAGAAAAATCTTTAGTTTTTTTAATTTATTTTATTTAAATATTGTTATAGAAATAAAAAATAAAATATACATATTTAAAAACTACATCAAAAGTTCAACAAAACAAGTGGTGACAAGAATATTTTATTTTATCATATAGGCCATGAAAAAAACACAAATAAATATAAATTCCCGTGAAGTTGGAATAGTGCTTTGAGAAGAAAGTTTAGGACGAAGGGAGTATATGACCGGTCATGATATAATCATTATTCCATCGTAATGATATGATTATGTATACTCCATCGAGCTTTTC